GATTTAAGTTAAATTTCATTGAATTCATTTGAAGTGTCCATATCTCAAAAACAATTACAGTGTTAATCAATGGAAGGGAAGAAGATGATATAAGTTACTATCCTTTTCTTTGGAAGCATATTCTCATTGGAAATGCTTTCATATTTAATTAGAATATGAAATATCTCTGTCCCTTTGTATACTCTCTCATTTCTCGCCAATACTCAAAAACTGAGTTGGGTCAACAACCACCTTCACTTCACATCCACCATCCCTACGGATCACCACCACCACTACTGTGTATGTGAGTGTGACCAAAGTTTCAGTCAATTTTGATGGGTCATGGGTGGGTTTACATTTATGAAATATTTTTCGGAAAATTACATTTATGAAATATCTCTGTCCCTTTGTATACTCTCTCATTTCTCGCCAATAACTCTAAAACTGAGTTGGGTCAACAACCACCTTCACTTCACATCCACCATCCCTACGGATCACCACCACCACTACTGTGTGTGTGAGTGTGACCAAAGTTTCGGTCAATTTTGATGGGTCATGGGTGGGTTACATTTATGATTTGTTGAGGACATTGGATGGCGGTAATGACTTCCACGTGTTTGGAATTTTTAGAATGCTTATGTGACAAGAAAATATATTTTTATGTGTGCACTGCTAATAAATATTTAACAATTATTTTAAGATCAAATTATTGTTGGGTTGGAACAAGGTCGGCCCTAAGATTCTTAGTCGGCAAACTTTGGCGCGATATTTTGAGTTGTAGATAGGGCTCGTTCGCAATAGAGAAGAGAATAGTAAAGTGTTTTTAACTTTGATTTGGTTGGAGGTCCTAAGTGGTTGTTTGGACCGACTTAAGTTGAAAGTATTCAACTTAAAAGATTAACCCATTAGGTATAGTGATCTGTATATCAAAATAAGTCTCTAATCCCCTTCCAACAAAACCAAATCTACCTCGGATAAACTGGTTATTGGGTTGGGGGTATCTAACCTAAAAGTTATTCTATTAGTTGAAATGACCCTTTCTTCAACGGCGAATTTTTTTTTTTTTTTTAATATATCTCAATTTTTTTTTCTTTTTTCTTTTTCAAATTTTTCTTTTTGCGTGTTACATAATGTTAGTTCATTTTTTTTATTTTTTTTATTTTTATTTTAACTGTGTCCCCTCTGAATTAAAATCCTAGCTCTGTCCCTGCTTACCCCGTATAAGTCCTAGATCCCCTCTTCACCAACCGATGTGGGACTCGACTATCTAACAATTATTGTGACTTTAAAAGTTACATGTTCAGCATCACAAGTAGTCTTTTACGTAAAAGTAAGATTAATAGAAGGAGCCTTGTGCACTGAGTTCAGAAGGAGGCAACATGATCCCATTAATGTTTTATTTTTAATTTTATGATCCCATTAATTTTATAAACTTATAATATTACACAAAATGCCCTAAATTAGATTTTTCAAAAAATTTCTTTCTTTTCCTGCTTACACTTTTTCTTCAATATATATATATTTTATTTTATTCAAAGAAAATTTGCATTTTCTTTTTTCAATCAAATCCTAATTTTTTTTTCTTTGAAAGTTCTCTCATATATATATATATATATATATATATATATATATATATATATATATATTTTTCTTCTTCTCAAAGATTACCTCTATCACACTGCTATAGCTCTTTTTGATCCTATTAAAATAGTTCAAACGATATACCTTCTTTTATCAAATAGAAGGTAACAGTTAAAGTTTCATAGCAAGTATTGTGAGAATATATATATATATATATAATAACAATTAAAATAGGCCAATTTTTTTTTTGGTCTCGATCCATCCCCACTTCTCATTTCTAATTTGTTTTTTATTAGACATGAGGCGGTTTGGGATTGGGTTTGTAGGTTGTAAAGCGCGTTCAATTTTAAAAATAGGTTCAACCGTGTTTCGTAAATAAAAAAAATAAACAAAAAAAAACACTTTTAGGAGTAGAGATTTAATTTGAATAAAAAAAAAAAAAAAGTGTGTTTTGATAAGCTGGAAATCTAGAACGTTTAAAATTTGGAACGTTTAAAATTGCATTTGTGTAGAATTTGGTATCTAATATTTTTTTGGACAATATAACCCTTCTTCATTCTCATAATTATAAGGCTATTTGTGATAAGAATATATACATAAAAAACTATGAGGATAATAATGTACAAGTAAATAAAAGTGTGTAGTTGGGACTCTGTCATCGTATAACACATCTCTTACCTATTATATATATATATATATATACTCTCTCGGTCCCAATTTAAGTGTCACTTATGGAGAGTTGAAGGGGACATGTAGGACATACATTGTCTGCCTGGAAAAAAACCAACTTATTCTTTTAAGTTTTGAATATTCAAGTTTGAAATTTTAAACTCAAAGGACATATATGGAAAGATGTGAAATATATTGTTTGAAAAGAAAAAGTGGACTATTATTTTCGGACAGACAAAAAGAAAAAATATGACACTTATTTTAAGATGGAGAGAGTATATATTACCGAATATATATATATATATATATATATTAAACATTTAAAAATAAGTATTGCAATAGTGTGAGGACTATTATTGCTAGCCTAATTTCATATCCGATCCTCCTTTGAATATTTATAGCCAAATTTTATATTTTTTACATTTATATCGCAATTTTACATTTACCTTATAAGATTCTAAATTATAAACATTTTGTAAATTACATTTATTTAAAAAATTCAAACTTGTATTTTTCAAAGGCATTCGTAGTATCCTCTGTAAAAACGTATAAGAATATTTTTTGATTTTTTGAGCTATTGATTTAAGTGAATGAAATTGTATTTGGCTAATGCATACTTTTATTATTATACTAGTAATATTGTAAAATTAGTAATAAAAGTATTTTAAACAATACTGTTACTAAACAAATTTATCACTGCTCTAACTATAGAAAAATACTTTATATGATGCATCACTAAACACTAAACATATTTTTAACAGCCTTTTATCACAACTCTAAGTGCTTTTATCATTTCTACAACAACAACAACAACAACGCGATGCCATCTGCTGTGACAGTCTGTGGGGCACTGCATTTACCGGTTTATACTTGTCACGTGACTAACACGTGTTGACAGCCATATGCTGTGACAGTGTGTGGGGACTACATGTACATCTTACAAGGAATGGTGAAGCAGATGATCACAAGAAATTGTATGATAAAAAACGAAAAGGAGACAAGAAAAATCCATATATACGCCATCATCTATGTGTCTCAGATCCATCCATATCCACGTAGACATGGTCTTAAAAGATATCTATTACAGTACCATTATTATGTGATGAAAAATAAAAATGGAAAATGATATCATCGCCATTGAAGGCGTGGAAGTTCCATGCTTTGCAATTTATGGAATAAGCTCACTTCAGGACGTACAGTATTTTCAAGGATATTTCTTTCACACGTCAACAATCAACAAAGTTCGATGGAAATTTGCTTAAGTCACCAAAATTGGATTGCAAAAATATCAAATTTGTCCTTGTATTTTGTTCATAAAATCTATTTAGAAATAATTATTATTTGTGTTACGAATTTAACACGTTATTAACACGTTATGTTACTTACTTTAACACGTTATGTTACGTAATATTTATGCAACACATTATATTATTTAATATCAATTACACAATATATAATGTAAAGTTACTGCAAGAAAAATCTAAAATAATTGCATAATTATGCAATTGCATAGGGTCATTTTTTTTTCTTCTCCTAATTGGTACTCACACGTACATATCTCTATTGAGACTTGAACTCCTGATCTTCCTTTAAGAAGTAAGAGGCCGATACTGTTAGGGCACTAATTTGCTGATCATAGGGCCATCTTGTATCACAAGAAAGGATCTAGATTTCTATTCGTTAATGTAATTCAACTAAGTTAATACCATTTTATTTTTTTCTTATCTCTCTCCATTGAAATTTTTGTTAAAATATGAGACTTAAAATATGGCATTGGTATTATGTTATATCATTTCAAAGAACTCCGACACTAATATAAAATAATTATTAAAAATTTCATATTATTAAAGTCATTTTTAACACAAATTTGACAAGTTACACAATAACTAAAAGGACGTATAGCTCTTTGGCGTTATTTCTAAAATTAAAAAAAAAATAATGCTTTTGTAATAATAAGTATATTAAGTGTCTTGGTGATGCATTATAATAAGTAATTTTTACATAATAATATTTTTTAAAGTAATTATATTACTAATTCTACAATAATATCTTTTAATATGATGTCACTATATTTGATAGTAGTAATTTTACAGAAGGAGTGTAATTATTTTCATAAAAAAGAACAAAATTGTTTAAAATATTCACATCCATTCAGAACCAAATTAAAAAGCTCTACTGAATAATTAATTTTTATTAAATTTTAATATATATATTTTGAGTAAATATTTTATTACAACCGAACATTAAAAAATAAAAATAAAAATATTTTATATATAAACAAATGGAGAGTCATACGGCAGCCAGAGAAAGTGAAATTCAAACTATCACTTATTTTCGTTTTGTATTTGTGTCGTGCTGAAAGGGGGTAATACAATTTTTAAATGGACTAAATTTTCGTGTAATTATACTATACCTAAGGCGTTAAAAAGACTAAAATGACCTTTGACTAAATTTACACCTTGGAAGGGTAGAGTTGGAAATTGGTGACGCTTGCTCTGCTGTGAGGATAAGGATATAGAATAAGGAGGAGTATTGTATTATTATAGTCACTAAGATATGGATGGATATATTAGGTAATTCACGGGATCCTAATTGGCCAAGTTGTTCCTCGTTGAGTCTTTTGCAGCCAATCCATCCGCAATAATTGTATTAATGATTCTCATTTACAGACAAAAATGGTGGGCTTCACCAACCAAACGTACAAAAGACCAATTTCATAAATATATATATATATCTATATATTATACATATATCATTTATCACGTGTGTCTGGCCTTTATATACTTCTCGCAACCAATATTAGTACTTCTAAATACATTTTCAACTTTTGCTTTAGCAGAACTGATTTCTTAATTAAGAGAGAGAGAGAAATCTAGAGAGAGAATTAAGAAAAATAAGAAAGAAGAAGGGAATGCGAATTGGGAAGTATGAAATCGGAAGGACTTTGGGAGAAGGCAATTTCGGGAAGGTGAAATTCGCTAAGAAGATCGATTCAGGCCAACCGTTCGCCGTTAAGATCTTGGAGAAGAATCGAATTATCGACCTCAAGATCACCGATCAGGTTACTTATATATATATATATATATATATATATGTGTGTATGCATGCACCTATATATATACACATAGACATATTATCTATCATCTTTAATTTCATTTTGCTATATTTATTCTTCTTCTGATGTGTAGGATATATATTATGTATGTATTACACACACTTCAATTCATTGATTTGTTTGTCAGAAGCATTTTCTTTAATCTTCTGTGATTTTGTGAATGGTAGACCTTAATTAATTAATTTTGTGAAAATTTTCCACGAAAATATTTGCTGTTGAATTTTGTGGGTTAATTATAATTACTTAATTCTATTTTCGCTTCAATTCGCAATTTGTTTCCAACTGAGAAATTTTGAATTGAGCTGATGATTGACTAATTGGAGTAATTTGTATGTGCATATGTATATATAATAAAAGGGTATATTTCCATTGTTAGTTTGTGTGACTACATTTTCTTTCATTAAAGACAAATTGTTTGCGGTATTGAACTGGGTTTTTTATAAGATTCTTCTTCATATTGCATATATAAAATATTTTGGGATTTTTTATAAGATTCTTCATATTGCATAGGGGAGACAAATACCCTAACGCATACGCGTAGTATTATTTGAAAAAGTGTGCAAAAACGCTCCTAATCTTTTGACAGTATGCAAAAATTTCCATCTTTGTAATACTTATTTTGCCTTTTTACTTTTCAAAAAATGCATAAGGGGTATATATGTTACTAATCTTATAATATATGAGTATTATGTGCACATTACCTTATATATGTATATATACATATTTTTGAAACTTTTTTCTTCATATATATCTCTAAATATTTTTTAAAAAAAACTTTGAGAATTTATAAAACAAGGATTTGAATTTTTTGAGATTTCAGTTATTCTTTTCTACTATATATATATTTTTTCATACGAACATGATTAAACAATAAAATAAAATAAAATAATAAATTCCTAATTTCAGTGTGCTTTTTGGAGTTTGAATTTTTTTTTTCTTTAGTTTGCACTATTTTTTTGTTTTTTATTTTCTATTTATATCTTTACTTTTCTTTTATACTTTTATTTTATATTTTTATTTTTTCTTTTCTACTATATATATATTTTTTCATACGAACATGATTAAACAATAAAATAAAATAAAATAATAAATTCCTAATTTCAGTGTGCTTTTTGGAGTTTGAATTTTTTTTTTCTTTAGTTTGCACTATTTTTTTGTTTTTTATTTTCTATTTATATCTTTACTTTTCTTTTATACTTTTATTTTATATTTTTATTTTATATTTTTATAAAAGTATTTATTTTTATATATTTTATAAAATAGTTAATTTAGTCAATTTAGGGTATAAATTTGTTAGAGGGACTTATTTGCACCAGAGGTGTTTTTTACACGAAAGGACATCCTCTAATAGTATCATTTTCGATCATTTTATAAAATTATTTATTTTATATATTTTATAAAATAGTTCAATAAGGTTAATTTAGTCAACTTATGATTTATATTTGTCAAATGAAGCTATTTGCACCAAATTGAAATTTTAAAGGTATTTTTTTGTACGTGAAGGATGTGATACCCATTTTTAAATATGGGTATTTTTTGCACTTGACTTATATATAATATTTTACTACATATTAAAAAAATGTGAATTTTTTTTTTTAATGGAGTTTGCAGATAAAAAGGGAAATTGGTACCTTGAAGCTCATCAAACATCCAAACGTTGTCAGATTACAGGAGGTACGCAGGCCCCCCTACTTTAGTTTATCTCCTTCTTTCTCTCTCTATATGTGTGTGTATATATATATCAATATATATGCTATGTATATTGGTAAATATTTATCCATACAAATAGGAAATTTGATTGCCGCGTATATGGACGAGGCTCCGCTAATTTTGGTTGGTCGGGGGGCATAATAATTTCCTTCCTTCTAACTTCGTCATTCCTTCTGGATTGGACAGCGCACTACTGCTCCATAACAGTGACGTACTTTAACATACTATATGGGCATGTGAGGGCCGGCCCCACGTGGGCCCAAGTTTTGGCCCATCAATAAATGGTATTCCTGGATTGTTGTTATTGCCCGAAGTATGTCAATTTCAAATAACTAAAACAATGACAATACTAACCCACCGAAGGAGTCGAGTCACTTTTGTCATGTTTTTACACCCACAGAACTTGGATTCCTCTCAAACCCTTGTACTGGACCACATGGACATGTGAGACTAACACAGTAGTTACTAGTTGGTCCATGCCACATGGATAGGGCACAAGTAGGTTTCACACTGGATGACTCTCCACGGCTACCGGCCCAATGCCCTATGACACGTGTGAGATTTAATCCACAAACTTGCATAGCAAAGGAAATTTGAACTCACACTCACTACATTGGATATGATTCGTCTAGACACCGAAGTTCCGTCTTACCATCCAAAAAGTCCAACATCATCTAGTTCACACTTTGATGGAAGACTTATGAATCAGAATTCATTACAAATCTGCATTTCCATGACATAGGGTAATAATCGAACCAAATGACGTCCATTATTGGTTTTTTTTAATTTTTTTATAAAAAAATAAAAAGTCCATTAATTCAATGTTTGAGCTCAACTTGCAAAAATTAGAGACTATACGAGTCAAGTTTGAGCTCGAGTTGAGCAGAGAAATTGATGTTTTAGATCAACTCTTTTGAGTTTGAGTAACCTCGAGCTCAATAATGAGCCATTGTTCACAAACATATTCATAATTTTAATGAATCATGCCCATGTAAACGAGGCTGAGAATGTGGCTAAGAGATTCCTGTCACTAGGTGATCATTAGAATAGGAAAGCGCTGCGTTTGGAAGGATGTCATTCAATCCCTCGCCAGTTTAGTGATCTGAGCATTACTTCAATAGGTGTAACAGTGTCACGTTACTTAAATATGATGACCTCTTCAATTGATGATGTGGTACTGTTATATACATTGAATAAATGCTCGGACTCCTTTGGAGAGGAAGATCGAGTCTATTGGTTTGACAATTTATTGTAAGTTGTAGCGGAACACCAAGAGTACTATATTGATGTGGGATGCTATACATCCTTTTTGCCCATGTAACATGGATTATTCTATTCCCTTTGCCGCCAGATCTGCTACAAATATAGTTTCTTCATTGTCATTCAAGTGTTAAAGCTTGGACAATTATGATTATGTTAATGCTTCAGTTTTTCAGAAAATTAAAACGAAAATGCAAATGGATTGTTGATATATAGGATATGGTATATTTCTGATTATGCTTTTCTTTGTTAAATGAATATGATAAGCAGGTCTTAGCAAGCAAAACAAAGATTTACATGGTCCTAGAATATGTGAACGGCGGTGAATTGTTTGACAGAATTGTAAGAACAACTTTTTCATATATATGCCACTTCCAGTTGGTGCACCTTGTGCTTTAATTAGGATCAAGTCTGATATATATGATGTTCATGGTTTATGAATATTTATAGGTATCGAAGGGGAAGCTATCCGAGGATCAAGGCAGGAAGCTCTTCCAGCAGTTAATTGATGGAGTGAGTTACTGCCACAACAAAGGTGTTTATCACCGTGATCTCAAGGTACTTTCCAGACAGCCTTTGAAAATATGATGCGTGTATATATAAATGATATTCCAGGAGTCGAACAATAACACTACAATTGATGAAATGCCATATCATTGCATTTATTTGTTTTGAAATGTTCTTGATAGCTTATCATTCTATCTCCTATAAGCATTTTTTGTTTCAAAATGCAGTTGGAGAATGTACTTCTCGATGCCAAAGGGAACATAAAGATATCTGATTTTGGGCTTAGTGCACTACCCCAGCATTTCAGGGTATCTGTCCTATAGAACAATCCCTTTATGACTCATTCTTTTTGGTTTAGTTACTTATTTCACATATGTTCTTACTATTAGGATGATGGGTTACTGCATACAACCTGTGGTAGTCCCAACTACGTTGCGCCTGAGGTTCTTGCTAATAAGGGGTATGATGGTGCCACCTCTGATACGTGGTCATGTGGCGTCATCTTGTACGTGATTCTAACTGGATATCTACCGTTTGATGATAGAAATCTTGCAGTTCTATATCAGAAGGTTTGCAAAAGCTCTTATTGATTTCTTCACTTTGCATGACAGATTTTAGAAATTTAAATTGCATGAACTTTCATATTTAATCCTCGAGATGGATTTCAGATTTTCAAGGGGGAAGTTCATATTCCCAAATGGCTATCCCCAGGAGCACAGAACCTAATAAGAAGGATTCTTGATCCTGACCCTGTTAAGCGTATAACGATGGAAGAGATCAAAACAGATGAATGGTTCAAGCAAGACTATACGCCTGCCGAACCTGATGAAGAAGAAGAAGATATATACATAGATGATGATGTTTTGTCAATACATGAGGTGGTATAAACATGTATATCATTGTTGTTATGTTCATTGTTGGTTATATTTCAGTGATTTTGTGCCAAAAACTGATGGGATGTATTCCACTGGTGTAGCCATCAGATACAGAGAAAAGCCCAGAACCACCATCTCTCATCAATGCTTTTCAGCTCATTGGAATGTCTTCGTGCCTAGACCTCTCTGGTTTCTTTGAGAAAGAGGTACGAAAAAGAAAAAAAAAAAAAAAAACTAGCTATGTAATATTTGCTGATGCATAATTTTTGTTATTTATCGCTGAAGTTTTCTCATTTTGTTCAAGATATTTGATTGCAAATTATGCACATTTTGTTCGAGCCTTTTTTAGGATGTTTCAGAGAGGAAGATCAGATTTACGTCCAACTATTCCCCAAAAGAATTGCTTGAGAGGATTGAGGATATTGTAACTCATATGGGATTTGGAGTCCAGAGGAAAAATGGAAGGGTTAGTTCAATTAAAGCATAAACTTGCATATATCAATGCACTTTTTCACACGGAACCGGTTATATTTAATATCAATATAATCTGGAAGACTGAAACTCAGAAAATCTTTTTTTTTTTTTTTTTTTTTCTTTTCCCCCACCATTTCAAGTGATTGTGCCAGAACTGTGTGTATGTATTCTTAAAAGTGCCGGTATTAAAAAATCAGTATCTAGTACCATGACTGAGTGAGGTTTAATAATGGGAACATTATGTCAGTAATTTTGCATTCCAACTGAAAATTTTGCAATACCCTTGTCCATCTTTTTTAGCTTAAGGTGAGGCAAGAGTGCAAAGGCCAGAAAAGCCCGGGGAGCCTTTCAGTTGCAGCAGAAGTAAGCAATTTTTAAAATTTCAAACATGGTGTTATAGAAGTATATTATACTTCGTGATATGCTTACTGTCATAATTGTTGCAGGTCTTTGAGATAAGCCCGACCTTGTATGTAGTTGAATTAAGAAAGTCCTATGGAGATTCTAAAGTTTATAGACAGGTTCTCTCCCTCCCTCTCTCTCTCTCTCTCGGAAATGCAAATACAATTTCCTAACAGTTAATTTTAATTTATGGTGTGCGCAGCTGTGTAAAAAGCTATCAACTGATCTGGGCGTCTCGCCAAGTCAACAAAATTTGTTGAAGATGGAAGTTTTAGCATCTGGACTGGGGCCAGGACAGGAAATAGCAGTAGAACAAGCCTAGTAGAGTATCTGTATGAAAATCTTTGTGAAGAACATTGTGTAATTTGATACGTCTCGGAACTAGTATATCTATAAAATGCACACAGTTTTTCAGTCTTTCTTCGAGTTGCAGCAGAGTCTGAATATTGGCAGCTCAACAATTGAATATATAGCATTTGTAAATTTTGGTATTGCCACATATGAAACACAGATGGATCTATTTCATCGTTTTGATGCGAAGTGAAACAATAATCTGATTTGAGAGGAAAATGTTTCCAAAAAGAAAAAAAAGGATTTTAAGAAATTCATTTCGGAGAAGTTTAAGCAAAGCTATATAAGGTGTTTATGCTTATAACTAATATGACCACCACCCCCCAAAGAGGAGGTCCAAGACACGCTTACAAAAACAAGGTTTTTGAGTTTCATGTTGTAAAAAATATTGAAGTTGGAGCTCAGTTCTTATTTCCTTTCAAGTACTGGGAAGTTCAAAGTGTTGGTCAAACAACTTTTAGGAACTCATGGAGAATTATTTTTTGTGTTTCATCATCTAAGAGTAGCTATTAAGTATTAAATGATATAAATTGATTTAAATCAAACAGAAATACAATTGAATTCAAGGAGAATTCAGATAGAGTTTTCGGATTTAAAAAAATATTTTTGATTTTTTTAGCATCCAGGTTGTACTTCGTGCTTCCATGCTTGTATCCGGATTTTGATCTCCTAATGAAGCACAGAGCCATTCTGATGGTATAGTTGTGGAAGTTTAGTAGATATAACATGTAAACGGAGATGAGAATGGACTATATATATATATATATATATATTGTGGAATGGAGGGTGGAGTGCATTTAATTGATGCATTTTTTTCCCACTATTTTAAATCTGTTGCCATTAAACACGGGAAATGGAAGAGAGAAAAATATAATGCATTAGGAAGAAACACATGGTCAAAATCGTCCTAAAGATAAATCTACATTCACTAGCAAAATTCATCCTTCTAGGTGAAGATGACATTTGGTACATATTCATCCTTCAACCCTCTTTTTACCCTATAAAAACAGGACTTCCTATGTTATCTTTGAACCTTTCCTAAACACCTCACTCCATAGCATATCTATTTTCTTCACATTTTTCAGTTTTTGAGGCCTAGGAAGTGTGGTGCACCAGTGAACCGCAACCACTGATCTCCTTGTAAAAATGCACCAGATGTGAATTGTAGAATCTCATTTTTGTTTGTGATCACCTTGTAACCTTTCCAGTTAACCCTCTTATTGGTAGTAGCACCCGGACCTCGGTTTGCATACTCAGCATAGTAGCATGTATCGAGTGCAAAGTTCCCGGACCATGGCATCCAACCTTCAGGGCGGATTAAGTCTCCTAATGTAGATTCCATGATGACAGTCCGAGAGAATTCCTTCCATGGCCGGCCTAAGTACGTGGGAATTTGGAACCTGACAGGGTGCAGTTTTTCTTCTGGAACTATTCTGCAATTCTGGATCACCAAACCGGTGCTCTCAAACCGGCTGGTCCTCCCCTGAGCTGTCACTGTGTTCTGTTGGTTATCCATGGGCTTCCTAACAATTATCAAACAGTTTTGGATCATTGCAGAGGCATCACCAAAGATGAAGTCCACAGTGCCTGAGATGACACAGTTTCGATAGAATTGACGATGTGTCTGCACATACAATGTGTCTTGGTACCCATCCATTCTGCAGTTGTAGAAGGAAGCCATGTCTGACTGCACGCGAAGTGCCACGGCCTGGTGTCCTTGAGGACCAGCTGTGTTCTGAAATCCCATTGATTTGGCTATAAATCCACTTCCAATTGCAGCTGCAAGATCAATATGCACACTAGTATCATTACAGGCTAGCCTGTACTCATAAATGCTCACAGATACGCATGTGATACTTTTTAAACATATTTATAATTTGAAAATAACCCCCTTTTTTAAATGTCACTTTTTAAAGTATGGTACTATATCACATTGTCGTATCCTGTCACGTCCTTTCAGTATTCAATATCCGTGTCCATGTTTCATAACTCGAAATTAATGAGAAAGATTGAGAGGGAGAGAGAGAACTCACTAAATGAGGCAGTCCTGAAGGTGGGAAAGCCAGTAGTGTGGCTTTTACTTCCAGTGACAATTGTTTTCCGGGGTCCATCTCCATACATGAACACATTGACTTGATTCTTTGTAACAGTGATATATTCATCATAAATCCCTGCCTTAACGTATATAACATATCTCCCTTTTTGTTTCTTTGGATATGCTTCAAGAGCTGCAGCAATGGTCTTATACTGTCCAGTCCCATCCTTCGCTACCACGGCATCCGGTGCTGCTTGGTCACTGCTCTGTCCTGCTAGTAGCTTCCTGTCTCCAACCGAAAACCATGCAGGGTACCCTTCTGTGTCAACATAATTAGATTCCTCAAGAAGTCTCCGGGAAGTCGCGCTTGTGTTCAAGGACACGTTGAATATATTTAGAATGTTAGAAATGGAGGACACAATGGCTAGCGCGTTATCTGTGAGCTTTGTGGCATTCACAAGCCTATTTGACATCTGAATCTTCAAGTCAGGCTGAGTAACTCCATCCAGGCATGTGTCCTGGTACGACATCACAGCGCTCAGCCAGTTTTGGAGCTCGGCTTGTCTGTCATTGAGAGTGTGCAGGTCACTATCACCCACTGATGAAAATGAGGCCTCTAGTTCATCTGTGGCAAATTGCAACAAGTCCTGGCAATCCTCAACTGCCATTTTTTGATCCGACTCTTTGGCCTCTTTCCCAATTTTACCCGCCTTTTCTAACGCTGATTGCACCTCTTGGATGGTCAAGTTAAGGGCAGCTTGGATGTAGCTTTGTGGGGTGGCAGTTTGGTCATTGGCAAGAGAGCTAACACTGTCAACACATGCTTGCTTATAATCAGTTGGGGCACAAATGGCTGCGATGGACTTTGAGCTTGTGGACAACACATCATCACCACCACTCGACGATTTGTGGTGGCTTATACCAGCAATTAGGCCAATTACTACTGCCACGACAAGGATACCGGAGACTCCAAAGGCAATGAGCTTGCCTCGTCCCATGTCTCGGGTGCAGGACCTAATTATTTTGTGATGAAGAAACTTTGGCCTGAAGGTGGTGAGGTTCTGAAAGTACTAGACTCTGCGATCATCAATGGGATTAATGAATATTGGAATGGGAAGAATCACTAAAAGTTGAAAAATCATGAGGAGGTGTTATATGTATTGGTGGCCAAAAAATAAGGGTGACAATTAGTCCTTTGGACAGGGATGGATGTTCAATTTTGACGGTTGGTCCTCTTAGATAAAAATGGAATTTCAGTTTAGTTGGTTAGTGGTGTGGCTTAGCTAGGGGCATATAGTCCTCCAACTGATATATAGGACTCTTGGAATGGGAAGGTTGATGGTTAAGGGCAGTTAGTACTATATCGTCCCCCATATTTCTCCGAAATGATCTCATACTCATTCATGCTTTTTGACAATTTGGGGATTATTTAAAGTAGGCACCCATTTATGCCAAACATATTAACATCAGCTTCTGTCTCATATACACATGGTTCACACATATCGCCTTTTCCACAGTAGTTAAGTTCCAAATAGGCCGCCATTGATTACAAACTAGCATTTGCCAAACTAGGTTGAAAAAGAGAGAGATCAGCCTAACTTGCTTACAACCACCACCACCAATTTTTTCCCCCAATTTTAAGGGCCAATCGTCAACTAATTTTAAGTTGTTTCTCATTTAATTTGATGTACAACTAAAATTTAAATCCTTAAATAAGGCACACAAATTAATATAAAAATATCAGTGAATATAGTAGGAAAACAATTATACTTCATTGGAATATATTCCATTAAATGATTGTCATATAAATATTTGCTGCAACAATACATAACAGCCCATTTCCATTTATATTACATGCAATTTTTTAACAAATTTCCAAATATGTAAACTTGTTAAATATACTAAATGGTATTTGATTTTAGGTTAATTTGCACTCACATGTAATAAAGACAGGTAAATATAATTTATAGAATTTTTTGTAACACTCTATCTATGGTACTAAATCATAGATACTAATAGTTGTTTTCTTTGTAAAAATTAAGGTTGATCTCTCTAATTTTATTTATTTAAAAAATCTATATGGTTCCTTGATATTAAATATAGTTTAATAATAAAATTACTTTTAACCCCTTCAAATTCCAATAAACCCCTCGCTGTAAAAAATCAAATGTAGTAATGTAAAAGGTTTATTGGAAATATGTGGTACTCCTAGAGGTTGTTTTCTAACGAACGACACCATCACCATATGTATAGAGCTCCAACTACCCTCTGTAATTTGTAAATATTCTAAATTATGCTCTACTACAAAACACTCTTGCCATTCTAGAATTTTATACTCTATAAATATTAATAAATTTTCAATATTCTAAGTCTTTCGTGTCTCTATAATATTCAATAATCTTTTACATAATATAAAAAAACTCTTGAATCTAACTTCACTTATGCATGCAGACGCCGTGTGACGAAACCTCCTACAATTTCGCCAGACGTGACAAGAAGCGATTGTTAACTCACATTTATGGTGAACATACATAGAGACTAGGCACAGATCTATGGTGAATAAGAGAATTTTTTTTCCTTTTGCTGTCATGCCCACTAGTTTTTCTTTTATGAATTATATACTTACAAAATTTTGAACTTGTCCTCGCTGAAATTAGAATAAGACTATTGCCTCTCCTAACATTTTTTTTTTTGGCCGAAGGTCGTCTCCTTTCATGTACTTTTCATGTCCATCCCTGGTTATGCCCATTGCTCTTATGAGCGAAAAGCTCCAGCACCAATCCGGGTATTTGGGACCAGCCGTCCCTGGTTATGCCCATCGCTCTTGTGAGTGGAGCTATAGCACCAATTCGGGTCTTTGGGTCCAGCTAGAGGTGCAAATGGGTTTTAAATATGAATTAGGAGAAATTCGTAAGCGTCTCATTTTGTAATGACTAGTCTTATTATTGTTTTGGGTAAATTACACTGCCCTTCTTTAAGGTTTCGCCAATATACAGAGACCTCCCTTCTTGTTTGTCGAATTATACAGACTTCCCTGTTCGGCTAGAATGCCACTTGCCACTTGACCTTTTATTTCTTAGCAAGTGTTTGGCGCTCGGCTAGAATGCCACTTGCGACTACCACTCTTTATTTTTGGCAAATTTTTGGCGTTCGGCTCATAGTGCCAGCTTCAACTTACTTTGCAGTCTTTCAAACATTCAAATTTTCAGAGGAAGATAGCTCTTTATAGATATTAAAATTCAGAACTTTAAATTAGATGGTGTTAACTTTTATTGTGTAATTACATTTCTATCCTTATTATATATATTTTATTTTATTTCAAAGTTTCAAAGACCAAAATGCCCATCTATATTTATTATTACTTTTCAAGTCTGAAGTATATGACGCAGGATATTCGACTATGAGGCGGTCTAATGGCAAGTGCTCAAGAAATTTATTGGACTCAATATAAGGTTGATATATTGGGGTGCTTAACTTTATCAGCCCTAGCTATGAACATTTTTCGCATTTCATACTATGATCCGACGAGCTGGCCTGAGAAAAAAAAAAAACACAGAATAGATTACTTTTCACCATCTCTTTGTACCCTTGATTTTTTTGTGATGTTTTTTTTTTTTTTGCTTGCATGTAGTTTTTTTGTTGGGGATAGTAGTCACTGGTGTATTTATGTGTTTCTAATGATGGACAGGAAATGACTTTGTTTATGAATTGAAATTTTATTTGTCAATTGTTCTCTTTGTATCATATGGACTACTACTCTTTTGAATGTCTCAGTTACTAACCAATACAAATAATTAACAATTTTAAGGTCTTGAAATTCTGACAATTACCGTCTTGCTCCTCCAACAACGGGCGTTCCTATGAGCCTTGTCATTACTGTTCTATGGAAAATTGTAACCTCAAAATGCCACAAATTAAACCTCTTTTTCTTCAAATCTTCTTTTTTTTTTTTTTTTGGTTTTCCTTCTCCCTTTACAGATTTAGAAGGAAGTGAATTTAACAACTTTTGATTAATAGAAGATGCTTAATTTCTCTTATTATATTTGAAATCCAAAACCACCACCACCCCAGCTCTTGTCCATGCAATTTTTTTTTGGAATTAGATTATTAGATGATTAGTTTCATCAATTAAGAAAAATGAATAGTTTGCCATATGCAAATTTCCTGTTTTAATATGTGTGTGTGTGTGTGTATGTATATCTCTTGCATATAGAGGAACACATCACCGCTGCTACTGGACATTGATCACGGTGGTATGTGGAGGTGGGTGAGTTGGGATGTGAGTCACAAAAAAAAAATTATTTTTTATTTCTCATTATCTAGGTTCAAAGTTACCTTGGTTAAGATTTTTTTGCCATTCCTTGTCGATTTTCATCAAATCAGTAACATCCAAAATTTTTGGCAAACTCAGGTTTTTGGATTTATGATACAATTGAAACAATTGATTGGATATAATTGGATTGGCAAAAAAAAAAAAAATAGGGCATAGATTGAGAGTTGTGTATAACTAATTTAGCTTCAGATTTAATCGAGAGAGAGAAAAATAAAGATTACACTTGTTATTACAGTGAAACTAAGAAAGGAGAGAGAAAATTGGGGAAAGAGATAAAAGTTGCAAGTTGTCGTTTGACTTTTTTGACGATGTTTGCATCGATTTACCTATTCTGCAATATAAAGGTTGGAGGGTATTGATGTATTTTTAGTAGTCAAGGAGATCATGAAAAGGGTACTATTGGAAGTTTTGATTAAAAAGAATATTTACTTCATTGTTGACTGAGTTGACCATTAATAGCCTTTAACGGATGGGAATCCAATGTTACAAAGATACAAACTTTAGGGGAGATCGGTGTAATTTGACAAATAAGAGGAGAGGGGGGAGGTCTGTGTATGTTAACAAAACCTCAGGGGAGGTCTGTGTAATTATCCTATTATTTTTTATGATAGCCGCATATGAGGGTTAAAGAGTCCATTCACATTTTCTCACACACACACACACATATATATATAATAACTTCATTCACTATTTACAAAATAAAATAAAAAAAGAAAGAAATAAAATAAAATAGCTTCACTGGCTATTTCTTAATCCCTCTGGTTCCTCTCACATTTGATTTTGAAGTTGCGGCAAATCATTACTTTTGCTTAAAAGTGGATTAGTTTAATTATAAGATAATTTTTTCAATTAAGTTTATAAAATTAACGAGCTTTACAACAATCTCAAATATAAACTTATTTGTCTCACGACACTGTCTTTGAGTCGACTTTGATAATAACCTTCTTATAATAAATTATTTATATTATTCCGTATTTAATAAGCAGAACACGATTTGTGAACCATCAATCTTTTTAATTTAAAAGGCTAAAAAAAAAAACTATCATTTAACTACGACATGATACTAATACTGATGATATTAACTTATTAAATCAAATTTTTAGTCTAACACGGTAATTTAATACTCATTAAGCTTAGAAGTATGTTCAACTTAATTTCTTTCCTTTATGAGTTTTGCCAAGAACGAGCCTCTCTAATCCAGCCAATTAAAACCTGAATAAATGACAAAAAGTTTTTACCATTCCCATGAGAGGCATGGTGATGTAACCACTTTTTTCACAACTTTTTATTTTTACCTTCTTTCTAGCCTTCAGCTTAGTATTATTTAATTAATTTATCTAAAATAAAAAAAAAAAAAATCAAAAGACAAAAAAAAAATAAAAAAATTGTAAAAAAAAGCTTTGAACAGAAACCCTAAAATACGGCCCCCAACCCAACCTTCACTCACAGAGTCAGAATACGATTCCGCCGATCTCAACTCGTTCTTCCCAGACCATGATATTGATATATATAGATATATATACACACACACGTAATCTTTTATATAGTATTTTTTATTTCTAAATTATATTTAAATTATGAAATGACGCTCAAAATTCGCATACATACACAGACGAAAATCCTGAGATTGCAAAGAAGAGCGATCAGGCAAGAGGGAACTGCAATCACCTTATTTTAGGGTTTTCAATCAGTTGGTTCTCACTTCTCACGTCCTTTCAGGTATGAAAATTTGGAACAAAAATTAAAAAATCATTTTGTTTGCTTCATATTTGAAGTCGTTCTGAATTTTTGCGAAGTTTGACATTACTGTGGTTGAAATCGAATTATTTTGTATCATTTGAAACAGCAATAGAATAAAAGGACTTATTATTTGTTTTCATGTCACCTCAAAACAATTCATTTCATTTTGTTCTTATTGACGGCAAATTATTGTAGCTCATAGTGTTTTTTTCATAGAATTATGGCTATTTGGTTATTGGGTATCTTAAAGTATCAAGTTATGGCCTTGAATTGATTGCCCAAATTATTGTTTCGAGAACTTCTGAATCCAATTTGTGATTTAGAATATGTGTAAATGCTTAATAGCAGGTAAGCAACAAGATGGTCATGATATATGTGCCAAGTATGAGCTTGAAGAGCTTATGCAGTTAAGCTCTATGCTGGGTCTTGCCCGGAGTTGGTTAATGCATAGATGATTCTTTGCGAAAAAAACTTCTTAGCTCCACTTAATTCAACTCTACAAATTCTTTTTCCAACTATTTGGGATTGGATTTATGTATCATTTGCTCTATTTTGATCCATAACATCATACAAACTACATGCCATCACATGTTTCTTTACTATCTCAACTCGTGTTAGTTTTAATTTTCTTATTTCCCTAGCATTACTCTCTGTATGGACCCATTGGCCTTCCTAACTGGTGTAGTCTATTTTTTACACTGCACATTCTAAAATACAGTAATCAATATTCTCTCATTTTATTTGCAGTAAGTGCTACTTAAACCGTGGAAAGAAATGTTTTGAGAAAATTCCTTTAGCTGCATGACTTTAATATATGGGTTTTGCTAGGTTTATACATTTTATTATACTTGTTTGAACACTATACCATGACCGTGAAAGATCATGACCTGTGGTATACCATACTATTGAAGAGTACTGAAAAAGCATATTGAATGACCAGACTTTATTAACTTGCCCAAACTTATTTGAACTAGTAGGCTTGGAAGTTCTTATCTTGGTTTTTCGTCAAAGCTTCAGGAGTTAGGTTTGATGTTGGTTATATTCAAATTAATATTGAATTATCCCTTAATTTGATTATATGAAATAAATGAAGTTGTATGCAATAAGTGACAGCGCAGCAGTAATCTACTAGCATCTTTTGCTTGGGTCAATGACACTGGTATGCTCAATCTTGTATTGATTGTGGTATACGAAAAGATGGTTTCTTATCATTACTTTTCTATATTATCTCTTTTTCAGCTGTCCAAACACCATTTTTACAAGGTTGAGAGAGCCTTTCAGTAAAACTTGAAGGATAGTTTGCAGTTTTGAAGGAGAAACTCAAGGCCAGCTGGGGTTCTTAATTTCTCTTGTAGGGCATGCAGCTGGAGCTTTTCACACTGAAGGCACATCAGACTATTGAAGTATGTGGTGCAACTGCTATTCTTATTTCGTCTCTGAAAACTTTTATCACTTTGATGCGATGAACACTTGCAAAGAAAGAAACACTTACCATATGAAGAAATGATATTTTACTTTAGTTTTGGCCTTTAAATACCAAGGTTAAGGATTTTGTTTCGTTGTGGAAGTTGAAGATTTTGTTTAATTTGGAAGATATGTATTCAATTTATTTAGGTTCCGCACAACATTTTAGTACTCTGGGGTTTTTGTTATTGCAACCAGGACTAAGACTGATGCGTAAATTATGTTGTAGTCTCTTCTTCAAATAACCTAATGGATAATTGTTTTAAAAAAAATTGTTATGTACATGTTTCCTGTAGCCAGATCAGATAAGGTTAAAGCAGCTGCAGTTCAGTTTCCCAAATGGTTGAGGAGATGGCGTCATTTCGCCCCACTGGATTTGGTGACCCTGGTTGGGAGCATGGCATTGCTCAAGATGAAAAAAAGAAGAAGGTCAGATGCAATTATTGTGGAAAAGTAGTTAGTGGAGGGATATACAGATTGAAGCAACATTTAGCTCGACTTTCCGGAGAAGTAACATATTGTGATAAGGCTCCAGAGGATGTATGTCTGAAAATGAGGGAAAATCTGGAAGGATGTCGTGTCAGTAAGAAGTTAAAGCAAGTTGAATATGATGAACAAGCATATTTGAATTTCCACTCCAATGATGATGTAGAGGAGGAGGAAGAGCATGTTGAATATAGAAGCAAAGGAAAACAATTGATGGGTGATAAAGGTTTGGTTATAAATTTGGCCCCTCTTAGATCATTAGGATACGTTGACCCTGGTTGGGAACATGGTGTTGCTCAGGATGAGAGGAAAAAAAAGGTAAAATGCAATTACTGTGAGAAAATAGTTAGTGGTGGTATTAATCGGTTTAAGCAACATCTAGCTAGAATACCTGGAGAAGTTGCACCTTGTAAAAATGCACCTGAGGAAGTATATCTTAAGATAAAAGAGAACATGAAATGGCATCGTACTGGAAGGAGGCATAGACGTCCCGATACAAAGGAGATATCAGCTTTTTATATGCACTCGGATAATGATGAAGAAGAGGAAGATCAAGAGAAAGATTCTGTACATCGTATGAGCGATGAAAAAGTTTCAGTTGGAGATAAAAGATTGATCAGAGACTCAATGAGGACTTCTAGAAGGATGACCCCTGGTAGTGGGTCTGAACCCTTATTGAAAAGATCAAGATTGGATTCTCTTGTTCAAAAGAAGGCAAAGAATCAGATGCCAGTATCTTACAAACATGTAAAATCGGGGTCCAGCAAAAAATCTCGCAAGGAAGTTGTTTCGTCAATTTGCAAATTCTTCTATCATGCAGGAATTCCTTCACATGTTGCAAACTCTCCATATTTTCATAAGATGCTGGAGTTGGTTGGTCAGTATGGACAGGATTTGGTGGGACCTTCAAACCGAGTTATATCTGGTCGTTTTCTACAGGATGAAATTGCAACCATCAAAAACTATTTGGTTGAGTATAAGGCTTCCTGGGCAGTCACCGGTTGTTCTATTTTGGCAGATAGTTGGAAAGATGCTCAGAGTAGGACATTAATAAATTTTTTGGTTTCTTGCCCCCGTGGTATATACTTTGTTTGTTCAGTTGATGCCACTGATATAGTGGAAGATGCCACAAATTTGTTCAAGTTGCTTGACAAAGTGGTGGAAGAGATGGGTGAGGAAAACGTAGTGCAGGTAAAGTCAATTATTTCTTTGTTTTAGTCTACTTTCAAGTAGTTCCTAATATGTAGCTTTGATTGGCTATCAGCTGACCAAGAACCCCAATTCATTGTAGGTAATCACTGAGAATACTCCCAGTTATCAGGCTGCTGGAAAGATGCTTGAAGAGAAGAGAAGGAATTTGTTTTGGACTCCTTGTGCTGCCTATTGCATTGATCAGATGCTTGAAGATTTTGTTAAAATAAAATGGGTGGGGGAGTGCATTGAGAAAGGCCAAAAAATGACAAAGTTCATTTACAACAGGATCTGGTTGTTGAATCTTATGAAAAAAGAATTTACTGGGGGACAGGAACTTTTGAGGCCATCTGTTACTCAGCATGCTTCAAGCTTTTCTACTTTGCAAAGCTTGCTGGAACATAGGATTGGTCTTAAAAGAATGTTCCAGTCGAATAAATGGATTTCTTCTCGGTTTTCAAAATCAGAGGAGGGTAAGGAGGTGGAAAAAATTGTATTGAATGCCACATTTTGGAAGAAGATGCAGTATGTTAGGAAATCGGTAGATCCCATAGTACAAGTACTGCAAAAGGTTAATAGTGATGAAAGCCTCACAATGCCTTCTATTTATAATGATATGTACAGGGCAAAGCTTTCAATCAAAACCAATCACGGTGATGATGTACGAAAATATGGGCACTTCTGGAGTGTGATAGACAATCATTGGAATTCATTGTTCCACCACCCCCTATATTTGGCTGCTTATTTCCTGAATCCATCATATCGATATCGTCCTGATTTTGTAGTGGTAAGGAAAAATTATTATCTTTTTCTTATTTAAAATTTTATTCTTTGTCAATGATCTCACCAAAATTTCTATATTATGTACAATTGTAGCATCCAGACGTTGTGCGTGGACTAAATTCATGCATTGTTCGACTGGAGCCAGACAATGCAAGAAGGATCTCTGCATCCATGCAGGTGACATTTCCTTATTGAACTCGTCATTTTTTCTGGAGGAGGGGTGAATTTTTCTTTTCTTCTTTTCCCTTCAATGCTTAGATGCAATGTTTCAGATTTCTGAATTTGGCTCTGCAAAAGCTGATTTTGGAACTGACTTGGCAATCAGTACCAGAACTGAACTTAATCCAGGTGATGGCAATAGAATGCTCAAAGCAACTCAATTATTTGACATTGTAGACATGTGGCACACACACGAGCACACATATACACCCATACGTGCATACATCATACACATTGAGAGTTAATGCATTTATTACCACTGTAGCAATCAAATTTGTCCTGATGTGAACATCTTTCTTTGCTAGCTGCATGGTGGCAACAACATGGGATAAATTGCTTAGAGCTGCAACGAATAGCCGTACGCATATTGAGTCAGACATGCTCATCTTTCGGATGTGAGCATAGCTGGAGTATATATGATCAGATCCACAGCCAAAGGCGAAATCGTTTAGCACAGAAAAGATTGAATGACTTCATTTATGTTCACTACAACTTGCGACTTAGGGAACGCCAAATAAGAAAGAGGTCCAATGACTCTATCTCAATTGATAGTGTTCTGCAAGAAAATTTACTCCATGACTGGATTGTGGAGACAGAAAAACAAGCCTTACAAGAAGATGAGGTATCTTTCAAGCTCATTCTTTTTAGAGAGATTAATGAATGCCTATACACGTGGTAGTTGCTTTCCCTATCCGAAGGAGATGTGATAAACTTATACCTTGGCATATCCAATAACCAATTGTAACGGCATTTTAGATTGATCACTTCATATAAAGCTAAAATGATATAAAAATTAAATCGATTGGGTCTAGCAGGAAAAATTAAAGAAATAAAAATAAAGAATTGAAAGACTAAAGCCTGTGTTGTGCATCTACAAAAATTTACGCTTTCCACCCTACCTTAATTCCTTTTAAAAGCTAAGCTTTATAGTTGCTGCTGTCTAAGGCACCATCCAGAGGTGTAGTTGTTCAAGTGGGCGAGTTTAGTTGGCGAAATCTACAAGAGATTGTATCCTGATTTGTGTTCAAGTCTGTTCTTGAGTTGAGCCACCATCACCTTCTTGCCTATGAAAGGATGCCGTTCGCTCTCTTGAATGTTAACTAACATCTGGTCTCACTGATGACAAATTTGACTGGATTTTGATTTGTCTTTTTGTAGGAAACGCTTTATAATGAAATAGAACAAGTTGATGCATATGAGAACGACTTGATCGAGTATGAAGATGGAAATGGAGAGGCTAGGAAGGGATCCATGGAGATGGTGACTTTGGCTGATGTAGAACCCTTGGATGTTGAACCTATTAACAATGTTGGTACTGCCACTGATGATGAAGATGAGGATGATGATGATGATCTCAATTTTCTTGACGATGATTTGAGTGATTAGTTGAATTATCTGTCTAAATTGACAGGGTTGAAGTAATGAATATGAAGAATGATTAACAGTCACTAAAATGTAGAGTCCAGTTGGTTGGATTTGCTGGTAATTCCAGTCATGTATAGTATATTATCCTTTTTTGTTAAATTCGAGTTAATTAGTCCAAATATCCAAAAGAAGCATGAAGTGGGTAATGTACCTCATGAATCTTTGGCCAGTTTCTGCCGCATGAGGCGGCCATCGACGGACACTCACTGGAGAAGCCATAAAAGGGGAAGAGAAGTGAGTGGTATTGAAATTGAGGAAGCAGAGGTGGAGAGGAAGATCATGGCATTGCAGAGAGTAGTGCCTGGAGGTGAGTCACTAGGCGTTGAAAAGCTCTTTCAACACACTGCTGGCAACATATTGGCATTGCATGGTCATACCCAATACTATTTTAGGCATCAATACACCTACAAGGCTGGGATTGACAAACTTACAGGTCTCAATTTCAAGGGTTCTTTTTTTTTTTTTTTTAGAGTGCGTACATCAGTCTCACACGCATCATTCAAATCAAGAGTGTGGTTCGAAAATAAGACCTTGAAGAATTACTTTTCGAATTCCTGCCAACGCTATTACAATTTTTTGCAAAATTATAACTAACGTTGAATTTGTCTTCAATCTCTTTTTCCGCAAAGATTGCATATACCTATCAAAGCTAGTAATGCTATGAATTGGGGTAGTGACGGCAATTGTCAGTGGAGATGGCTTGTATGAGTTCAGCCTGGCATGAACCAAAATGGGCTTAGACCATGTTTCCCTCCTTTTTTAAAAATTTTTTAAGCCTCGCCCATCTATTATCGGTGCATGGTAATACATTTGTTTTGAAATTTGTAAAATGAGAAGAATCACCTGTCACAAGAGAAAATGTCTCAAGTCTCTCTGATGCATGTTCAACTTCATCTAACATAAGTATCATTATAAGTAAATTAATAGAGAGTAATTTATTCGTGTCCGAGGGTGAGGGGGATGATGGGGGTGGGAATCGAACACTAGTACTCTCCAACTAAACTAAAGGTCCTTACCACTGGGCCAAGCCGCACACCATTCCCGTCCATTTAAAAAAACTTGTCATTCGCCAGAAGAAGTAGCTAACCTAAAAAAGATGTTAAGAATTATGAGGTTTTCTTAATCAAACCGCCAATCCATGAGCAACAGATGCAGCCCAATGGAGTTGGTCTTAATGGATTTGGCTCTCACTTAATCTACTACTTATTGTCTTCAGAAATGGTATTTAAATATAGAATGATGTATTATTATTATTATTATTATTTAAAGCTAATGCGAGTATTTGAGGAGTGGGCACTCATCTCTCGTGATCCAATCGTGTCTGTTTTTTCCATATGAACGGATCTATGCCATCAATTTAGAGGAGATGGAACAGAACCGATTTGACCACCCAATTCTAAAAAATAAAAATCTTTTGATTATGGTTTGATTTCAATTTAAAACGCAAAAAGACTAAGAATTAATAGTGCTAAATATTTTTAATAATATTTACTATATAATACTCTTATTCACTTTTCACTGATTGAGAATATAACTTATTATACAAGGACGGAGGCATGTGTTTTGTAATGTTCCAAGTCCATTCAGGGGCAATTGCCCCCACTAGAATTTTTATTTTATATTTTATATTTTATATTATATCCCCCCGTAAACAAATTGTTTTGAAATATATACATATAAAAATTAATCATTGCCCCCACATAAATTTTAGAAAAATAGCACTATTGTCCCAACAAATTCACATTGAGCTCCTTTAAAGAGTTAGGGCAATGGGCCAAACCACTGAAAGCATCAATTTAACCATCAAACACGATATACAGAAAGTTATTATAATGGTTTGAATTTTTTTTCGCTTATTATAATGGTTTGATTTTATTTTATTTTATTTTTTTTGCTGTTAAAGGTCGCCCCCACCCACATAATTTTCTGAATCCGTCCTTGATTATACATCATAATACTATCATTTATACAATCCAAATTTTGATATACTTTTTTTTTTTTTTTTTTCTCTTTATATTGTTTGGACAGACATTAGAATTGAAGTCTAGAAAGCAAGGATAGTTTCCCATTTTATTTCTTTGTTTTTCCAATATCTAATAGATATATATATATATATATATATATATATATATATATATATTTTCATGTTGAAAAAATTAAAGTCATTTGTCCACTTTTTTATTAATTATATATATATATATATATATTGTCTACTTTTTATTGACTTTTTCTTTTTTTCTTTTATTATTTATTTATTTTTATATAGAAGGGTATTTCAGTCCTTTCACTGCGTTGATGTTAAATTCTCACCAACGTTCTACTCTTTTTTTGGGCTTAATCCAATTCCCAAACAGTGTACTAAAACCCTAACCTTCTCCCTCTCTCTCTCTCTCTCTGCGAGTCTGCAACGATCAAAGAGGCAATCTTTTCAGGTATACGTGTTTCGTTTATTCAAATTTGGTTTTAGCATATGTATATTTTTATATATGTGTTATATACTGTATCCTGAAGAACCGCTTCAAATTTGATATATAGATCAGAATGCCTGAAAGCAAGCCAGTGATTGGTCTTTCATGGGAACCAAAGCTTCCTCCATTCTCATCTGGAACCAAAAAGGGGTCTGATAAAGCTAAAAATCTGCCTGAAAGCAGTGCACTGTATAAACCCACTACTGAGCTCATTGACGGGCTGTTTGTTCCACCTAACAACCCAAAACAATTGAATAAATTACTGAAGAAACAAGTCAAAGATACCACTGGGAAGAATTGGTATGCGTTGATTTGAATGAGATTATTTTGTCTGTGTAATTATTTTATGTATTTGGCTGTTGTGATTGTTGATATTTTATGTGGTTCGATTGTGAAATTGTAAATAGGTTTGACATGCCTGCCCCAACTGTCACGCCGGAGTTGAGAAAAGATCTCCAGTTACTTAAGGTTGGATTACTTGTTTTCTTTTCGTGTAATTTGTTTCTATGGTACTAGTTCCAGATACCGAAGCATTAGTAGTGTTTTATCATTTTGGATCTTGCAATTGATGTTGGAAATTTGCGTAGCAATTGATGTTGGAAATTTGCACATTACCCAGAAAAGAAAACTTATATTATTGCAAATATAGTATTATGTAACTTACTGCAATGAAGTTATGGAATCACATGGGCACTTATATACTGCAAATTTGGGACTAGAGACGATATTTAACTGATTTGTGTTTAATTATTGGGCAATCAATTTGTTTCAGAATTCAGATAAACCTTTTTTTGGGGTTTAAGTAGTTTCAGATAAACTTGAATAAGTGAAAATTGATATTGTAAAAATGATGATGGAACATTACCTAAACTGGAACTTAGGATTCTTGCTTATATGTCTTCATATGTTAGTAACTAATGGTGGTGATTTTTAATGATGATTTAGCTGAAATATTCTTTGGACCCCATATCTAGGAGCTTTAGTTGGTGTTAAAAACATAGTTATTAAAGGCTCACTAAGGTGCAAAGGTGCTAGGCCTGAGCTTTATTAAAGTAAATTGCATGTTGTACATAACATGCAAATAAATCATGTAGCATAGAAAATTGGGACTAATGGAACAATACAATCATTTAAAATTTTAAATATGTGGTATATGATTTCAAGGTTTGCAACTATTAAGAGTCAGTGAGTGAAGAACATGACATATTTATCATGAAAATAATAAAAAATTTCACTATATAATTTTTTTTTTTTTTTTTTTTTTTTTTGTTGCTAAGTAAGATGAATTTATATAAGGACACTACATCATAATTTATCATCAAAACATTAAATAATTTTTCAATTGAAAAAATACCCATACCGTGAGAGAGATTAAGCTCTCGCAGCTAACAGTTGACAAAATATTTATAGACCATAGTGTTTGCAGACAAATTCTTTTTCCGCCCATTTATTTGTTAATTCTATTTCACAAATTTCCAAAGTTTCAACTAAATTAATTATATTAGAAACTATTTTCCATAGTTTTGTTTGTTAAGATGCCCTGTGGAAAAAGCAACAATTTGCAGTGTCATGATAGCAACTACTTATAAAAAAATGTAGCCAAAAAGAGTCGGCAACTGGGGGGAGGGGGGGAGTAACAAGGGACATCAGTGAAAAAATTGGGGCTTTGTTGCTGAAAACAGCAGTTAGAGGGAGGGAAAATAGAGAGGGGTAAAGGTTGAATAAACTTACCAAGAGAAAGCAACGGTTGAAGACAGAACAGAGAAGATGAAAAAGAAAATGCGAAGAGAAAACAGTGTGATAAAGAGGGGAAAAAATCTATTGGGGGGAGATGATTTTTGTGACGGGAAGAACAAAAAAGAAAAGGTACAAACAAAGAAAAATTTATTTTGTGAAAGGGGAAAAAAGAGAGAAAGAGAAACTAGATTCGTGATGACAAAGAAGATAGAGAAGTCATAGTACAAATTACAAAATTCACCTGAAGGGTTCCGGCAATAGGGTTTGGTTGCACAAGTAGACACTCTTCTTTTTCTCGTTCTGCTCTGCTAATCATATCTCTCTCTCTCTCTCTCTTTCCGGACTATTGTTTGTTTTATAAGTGTGAAAGAATGAGTTGCCCTTTTATGCATAGGTTTTTAATATGTTGCAGTGTTATTCATGATAGTATGATGTGCTAACATATTTTGCACATAATAAAAGAAGTGGGCATTGAATTATGGGAAATTTTTTTTATAAAAAAAATCACATTTTATACTGGGCATGCCTTTTTGCACCTCGCACCTGCTGCACCTGTTGTAGAGGCACACTCCTCTTGTAAATTGCTTCTCCTGAGGCTAAGCAAGGGCTTTTTGTGCCTTGTGCTTTTTGTACCTGAGTGCGCTTGCGCTTTTCACAGCTATGATTCGAAAGGAAGATTTGGGGGGGGGGTACTCATTTTTATTTTTGTTCTGATTGAACAGAAAAAGCATCTGGTCTTAGCCATTTCTCTTGTGCCAGTTATTTTGACACATGGGAAATCTTATTTAACTTTAGTAACATAGGTAAAAATGAAAATAGTAAGTTTCGTGACTCCACTACTTGTTCTGGTTCCTGGCAAGTAGTGGCAATTGCGTTTGATTTTTGCCATTTCATCTGTGCCAGTTGGTATAACAGGTGGGAAATGGTCTTAAACTTTAATGACATAGGTAGAAGTTAAATTAGTAAACATTTCATGACCCCAGTACTCGTTCTGATTCCTTGCAAGTATGGCAATTGCATTTGGTGTTTACCATTTCATCTGCGCCTATCATTGTAATACATGGGAAATGGTCTTAAGGAACGAGTGAAATTAGCAATAGTCTAATGCCGCCAGTACTTTCTCTGGTTCCTAGCAAGAAGTGGCATCTGGGAAATGTTGTTAAACTTTGGTGAACAGGTACAAGTGGAATTAGTGACAGTTTGGCGCCCATGCTACTTGTCCTGGTTCCTGGTAACTTCAGTGAGGTTTCTGTCAAGTCTTACACGACTTTGTAAATGATGTCTTCAGCTACTTAAATCCTGTGTACAATGTCTTTTCTGCAGTTCAAAAGAAATTTTTTTAGATAGATATATTAATAACGTTCACGTATACAATCATAGATGCATTCTGTAATGGCCTCATCCTCCTTTACAAAAATTGTTTCAGTAGGTCCCGACTATAAACCCAAAAGAAGTATAATATAGTCTGAAAGGCATGCCTTGTCAACCAACTATTTCGGGAAACAGATCCCCACAAAATATTTGGGAATTTTCTTTTACTAATTTTGGCACTTAGAGATTTGATTTTGAACAGTGTCATTCTTCTTCTGTCACATATTATTGTACCTAGTGTGCAAGATCTTGTCTGGTTAAGAAACTCTAATTTTAAAAATCCTTGCATGCCGTCAGCCTGAATGGTGGTGGGACTCCCAAGGCCCCAGGTAGTGGCAATAGTTTTGAGTTGCTTAATTCAGCATTCACAATTGAAAATTCTTCCCTTCTTACCTCATTAAAGTGGAGGATTTTGGTGTGAGTCACAGTAATGAAGGTCAGTATAACTGTATAGGCAGGGAACACTTACTGTTATGCTTAAAATTTTTTTAGTACTGCTTGAAAAGTTTGCTTTTCTAGACAATAAATTCTTTCAAATGCAATAATGGGCCGTAAAACACCTGAATTGGAAATGAAGTAAATATGTTGCATTGTTTCCTAAATGTGTTTTCCCTGATCTAATATATTGATGAGGAGCATGTTCTTGTTCTCTTATTGTGTGCCATTCCATTTTTTAAATGACATCCACTAAACTTGTTGCTTGAGTTCTCTTTTTCTCTTTTTGCGGGATGGAGGGGAGGAGGTTGAATCTTACTAATTGAACTGTTTCTGTTGACATTAAGTTATGTGTGAATTAGACATGGAATCCTTATTGGGTTTATTAAAAATCATGGTGAAGCTGTTATGGAATTGATGGTCCATCCATGTTGGAAGAGTGCCAATAGATATTGACTACTACTTTCTTTATTTATTTCAATTGATATTTGACTGTTTGCATTTGTATCTCTTTTGATGGATACAGTTGAGGAGTGCCATGGATCCAAAGAGGCACTACAAGAAGAGTGATACAAAATCAAAGACACTTCCGAAGTATTTTCAGGCAAGTTCATGGTTAAAGCTGAATGTTAGTAGTACATGATTACAACATTAAGGCGCATATAAAATATATATGATTTGGATGTATTGCTTTCTTTGCACTCGTATTGTTTTTTCTTGGTTAAGTGGTAAAAAAATTGGGTATTTGGACAATAATCAGGTTGGAACGGTGATAGAATCAGCATCGGAATTCTTCACAGGCAGACTTACTAAGAAGGAGAGGAAGGCAACCCTTGCTGACGAGCTACTTTCAGATCCTTTCCTTGGGGATTACAGGTGAGATAGAATATGTTACTGTTGCGCTTTTGCCAAATGCTGTATATTCTGAGTGTGTATGCCTTTTAAGATAATAAATATATTTTAATAGCCATTTTAGAGAAGGGGAACCAAAAAAAAAAAAAAAAAGAAGAAAAAGAAAAAAGAAGATCAAATAGACCGCCGGGCGGGGGGGGGGGGGGATGCGCGCAACTGGGGGGGGGGGGGGGATGCGCGCAACTGGGGGGGGGGGGGGATGCGCGCAACTAACTATTGAAATAGTGATAATAGATGTAGTCCTTAATAATAAAATGATATCTGGGTGAAAGCAGATCCTTCCAGTTCCATAAAATAACATACTGGAGGATTGAAAGGCCCGCGTTCGATTGATGACTAAAAACTCATACCATTGAATTACTAAGGGTGCGTTTAGTAACGTTTTTGTTTTTTGTCTTTGTAGTCTTAAGACAGCAGAAATATGATTTTGCTTTCTTGAGTGAAAATAGAAAGCAGAAATGATGTTTATTAACACTTGTTGTTGCCACAAATTTAAAAATATAAAACAATAACTGTGTTTAGTAATATAACATATTTGTTACAAAATGTACATAATATTCTTTAAATTTTTAATTTTATTTTTTAATTTTTTCATTTCTATTTTATTTTTTTCATGGCAAGAATTTTAGGAGTTGTGATTAGAGAGGAGGGTGAGGGGGAGAGTAAATGACTTGAACACGAACTCTCGGACACAGGGAGCAACCCAACCACTCAGGCACAATACTTGCTTCCATTAGTATCAAAAATCTATAAATCTAGAAAAAATAATTGACATTATTATTTTTTTTTCTGTACATTATTATTTAATATACTATATACTAAAGTATATTTTTATCAAATAAAAAATAATATACAATATTTAATATATTCTATATTAAAAATATATATTTTTATTAATATTTAATATGCAACTTAGTATATAACACAAATAATATGAATTTTATTTGAAATGAATAGTGCCTGTGTAGTAACATTAGTGAAAAATGTTTCTGCGCTACAGTGCCAAAAACATAAGGAACATCATTTTTATGTTTCCTCTTTTCTTCACAAAAAAGAAAAACAAAAACATTTTATTGAACGCGATTTTTGTTTTCATTTTGCCTTTTAAGAGGTTGACAACAGAAAACAAGAAACGTTTCTTGTTACTAAACGCAGCCTAATAAGCAGCTCTATTTTAGATTGGAGACCACTGAGGCCTTAGTTCACTAGTTATTGCAAAGTTCTTTTGTATCTTATTTCTCCTGTATCAATCTTTTTTGCAGGAAGCGCAAGGTTCAAGAGATTGAAGAACGAAACCGTCCGGGTGGGGTTGACAAATGGAAAATAAAAGGTCGGCAATCACGGAAGCGTGCAAAGCAAAGAAGGCACTGATAACTACAAATACTGACCCACAGTATGCCATTCCCGGTCAGATTTTTCCAATCAAGAATCTCATGAAATCCATAGGAAGATTCATTTTCAGTCAAGACAGATCCACAGAAAAAAATTCTTTCATAGCATTGGTGTTTATGAGAAGCAAATTACATCTTATCATCGTTGATTATATTGAAAAGACATCTCACAGGTGGAAAGAGAGAACAACTTTCACAACTGCAGTTCTGGTGGTGATTTCTTAGTACTTTGTTTGCTGTTGTATCTTATACTTGAATGTAGACATTACTCGGTCGTTATTAAAAATAATTACTAGGATTGATGTTAATTTTTGTCGAATTTTTCATCATTTGGCCTTTGTGCAGCATTTTACCAAATTCTGCAACTGGAGGGCAGAGCTCGAGTCTTGAATGTTACAGTCATATAACTGGATATCTATCTGTTATTTACGGAGTATTTATTTATTTTATGGTCCTTATTTAGTATTTTATGTGTCCTTATTTATTCCCTAATTAACAGAACAGTATGAGGAACAGTTTTCTTCTTTATGCATGGCTATTTTATCCCTTCCATCTTAAGTTCAAATGATGTGAGGTATATCACCAGTTCTAGCTTCAACCTACAATATATATATATATATATATATATTTCATCGTAAAGGAGTTTGTCTAATCTTAAACTCGATTCTATGAACACAGTGATCCTACTACCATGTGGTGTCCTCCGCTATGCACAAGAAGATTTGAAAATTCACAATTTTAAAATAACCCTGGTCAAGAAGGAAAATATAAAAATAATCTAAAATTGTCGGACGGTTTATGGAGGTATGTAACGGTATAGAATCATTGAAAAGAGATTACGAACTAGGTCATAAGGCTTATACGCCTCCATCTATGGCATTGGCGACTTAGACACTTATCTTCGCGACTTGGACACTTATCTTATCGTACTTTGCTAAATACAATTAAGGATGCTTCTTTTATTTCTCGTTCACAAAATAAAATTTGTGAAATTTGTCCACAAAGAAAATAAGGGCGTTTGCCGTTTCCGTCTATTTATATCACTATCAGTAAATTTTTTTATTTCGCAATATGTGAGTCATTTTCCTTAACTATATTTAAACGGTTTTCGCTATTTTTTAATTATTATTAATGATTTTAATAGATGCCTTTTCCTCAACTTATATTTGAACGGTTCTCACTATTTTTTAATCATTATTAATGATTTTAATAGATGCACTTGGATTATAACAATTACAAAAGAGAGAGAATGAAGAGATGAAGTCCAATAGGAAGAATAAATCAAAGAAGTATGGAAGAAATAAATGATGGAAGAAATAAAATGCTTCCAGATCCATCTCAAGTTGGGCTAAATAAATGGTGGAAGATATAAAATGCATCAAGATCCATCTCAAGTTGGGCTAAATAAATGATGGAAGAAATAAAATGCTTCCAGATCCATCTCAAGTTGGGCTAAATAAATGGTGGAAGATATAAAATGCATCAAGATCCATCTCAAGTTGGGCTAAATAAATGATGGAAGAAATAAAATGCTTCAAGATCCAGTTGGGCTGGGCTTGCCACTATGCACATCCTCATTCATTCAGCGAACGATATAAAAGAAGTATGATTGGGTCATGTAAGTACTTAAAGACATCACTAAGTATATGTTATAATTAAATTAAGTCTCAGCTAGTTAGAGACTTGTTCCATTTCACTTTTGCTATTTAAAAAAAAGAGATAAAGTAACCTTGGTAAACCTTAATTAGATTAAAAAAAAAAAAAAAAAAAAAAAAAGACATATTTCGACTATGTACAATCTTCTTTGATTGAAAATGATAGAAATTTGATTTGGATATGAAGGAATGGAGATAAGAAAGTCAGTTATTTATATAGGCAAAAATATAAAATAAAAAGGGTGCTTCTCTGAGTCTCTCTCTCTATTTAGTTTCCTTTGTGTTTGGATGGAAAGGAAATAAAGATCCACAAGTGATCTATAGTTCTCTATTATTCTCTTTTCCATTTCCCTCTTCCTTCCCACCATGTATCTCCATTATTTTAAAAGAAATGGCAATCCATGCGAGATGAAAGGTGAAGAAAGAGAAAAGTAGACCTTCCTTTTCTAGAGAAGTGCAATTGTGAAACCAAACGCATCTTAAACCCCTAATACAAAAGGATGAAGCTTATAAAATCCCCAGTTTCATCAATTTAATGATTTATAAAAAAAATGTTGTGAAATGAGCTGAAGATTATAAGTTTATAACTTTTTTTAGGGTGCTTTCCATATTTAATGAAACCGAACCACTATTTCACTGGAGAGGATTTTGATCCGGTTTCAGCCGATTAATTACAATTTAACCAATCCAATCTCCATTGGATATATAAACAATTGTGTGAAAAACTGTAAAGTTTATTTAACTTTTTTCGCTTACATGTCCAATGGTAATTGACCGGATCCAATGATCTTGAGACCATTTAAAATTTTCTTGTCAGAGCATGATAGGCCGGAACTAATATTAATTTATCAGAGTTGTTTCTAGTATTAACAAATGATTCAAATTATTATTATTATTATTATTTTACCTAATTTTTAATAGTCAACTTCACTTGAATAACCTAATATTTCCTATAAAAGTAAAAAAATAACTTTCCCCAATCTGTCTTTGCAACCACTTCCTACAGCAATGTTGGCCAAAAGCACAAGACATGTTGCATTCCTTCTGAACCATAAATAATACAAACAGGCATGCCAGAAAGGCAAATGAAGCAAAATGGCCCCGTGATCACTCCGTGATCACTCCACACACGTGAGCGATCACAACCATCCGCTGCAGTGCAGCACGGTGCTGTTACCGTAGACGATCCGAACACAATCTTGGAACGTTGTACCTGGTAAACCCTGGGTATAACAATAGATACAGCCAATTTGACACAAAAGATGAAATATTGGCAGCAATGCAGACCCCTACTATAGAGAGTCCAATTCTCTCCGTGTCTCAGGCCAATGTATTTTGATCCAGTCGCATATAAAGATACTACGATGAGAGAGAACGGAAAAGAAAAAAATGAAATATGTCAAGAAAATTATACCTGCTAATGTAGAACACAGTACAAACAGAAAAGCCACTAATTTAGGGGCTATGAGGACTTGACAACAATTGTTCCTCTAACAGTGAGGTGAAATTTCTTCATGCTAAAGTATTTACACGCTGAAATTTCTTCATGTTAAAGTATGTACACACAGCTAGTAAAACTAACTTGAATGCACGTTTGAGCGCATAGCCATGGACTAATTTCATGGCAGCGGTTCTTGTGAATCTCCCAAACGTGACAAATGAAGATATGCATCTGTACCTGTGAGAATATAGTGCAAATATACAAATATGTGTCAAATGATGTGAAAAATCATAACAGCGTTTAAGTAAGCATGTGAGATTATTAAGAAGGAACTAAAACTTATTAATAAAATACCGGTTCCATAAAGGTGTAGAAATATATATTTATACGGAAAAAGGTAAAATTTAGATTTATCTTTTCAAATAAGATAAAATATTTCGCAGTTCAGAAGCCTGGTCTCACTCTAGGAAGCATGCATATTAAGCCCTATTCTATAGAAGACTAAGCACTCTGATAAAAGAAAATAAAAAAAGAAAAGTCCAAAAAGAGGGAAAACAAAGTTCTAGATAAAATTACTCAGTTCTAGAAAGAGAATTGAATGCATGTATCCTTGCGCTCAGTTTGGTTTCAGAGAAAATTAAAGCACAGAAAAAACATCAATCATTAAATAATTTAGAAGCTTAGGACAACTAGAGAGAGGTAAGAGAAAGTATACAGATTTCAAACTAAATTTGAGAGAAAACTACTTATTAACTAGGGGAAAAAAAAAAAAAACCTACTTATTCCATTTGCAGAATGAAGCAAATGGATGACTGAGAAGGTTTTTTGCTATTAACTCAAAGCATGCTGATTCAAATCAGGAGGAAAGGTTGTAAAAAATGGTAGCTAATAGCTATTAGCTGTAACATGAACAGTTGTTAATCAAACATGGTAACTTCAGGCAATGGATGTCCCATACATGTTACTGTAACAATATGAATACAAATAACAAGATAAAGACAGTATTTTATGTGTCCTATACGACTAGCAATCCATGAATTCATTTATTGCACAACAAAGAAAGAAGCTCAACTTACCATATCCTTCCATCGAAATAATTTGCAGATCCCCTCCAAAATACCGAGCATACAAACGGCTTATCGGAAGCCCATAACCATAACCAGCCATTGTTGCCACATTAGCTGTTACATCATCATCTGGCAGCTCATCCAGGGGGTTTTTTGCAGTACTGTAGAGATATGTAAAAATTTTTGGAAGACCACTTCTTGCTATTCCACCCCCTTCATCAGAAACCTATGGCATCAGACAGACCAATTAAGCAATGGATGGCAAGACGAAATCCGGTGCAACCCAGATTCTTATAGTACATGTCTTTCTAATCAAAGGTACAAAACAAAATATGGGAGAAAAAACGACCATAGAGAAAAGTTCTGCATAAAAAACAATAAACACAAACCTTAATTGTAACATCCTCTAATCCATCAGCAACTATTATTCGAATAGGAGGAGCAACTTTGTCTGAGTTCACAAACCTCTCTTGGACAGCACGCAAAGAGTTCTTAACCAACTCAAAAACCATCAGATGCAAGTGTGTTGGAACATACCTGTCATTAAAGCAAATAAAGTAAATATAGAACATGAAAGGTAACAAATTGATCTATCACAAAAACTATTTGATATTAGTAACTTGAAGACTTGGACACAACATATTGATATTAAAAGGATCCAGCATAAAACTTTGTTTGTTAAAGATGAAGATATAGAAGATGAAATCAAGGCGAAATTTTCAGGGGATGATATTCCTGGATTGAAGAGATAATGGAAAAAAATTCATCAAACAAATTAAGAGGCAACAAATTAGTTGATCAGGATTAGTAGGAGCAATATCACTTACGGGAATGTAAAATTAGGATCCCCATATATATTAATATCAGGAGCGCTGCCATACTCTCGAAAACAAATGGAACGGGCATCTTCACTGGCATTTCTTGCTACCTCTACAGGGGACATTTTTGTATGTATATAACCTACGCAGTCTGGAAGGGGATTGGGATCGTGCAATGCCACGTGCTGCCCTGAGTTTCACGCAGTATTTGAAGTATATAACACATTTATAGTATCCATTTTCAAGGACAAATAAATAGATTCATCTTAAATAATATAAAAAAGGCCAATTATACAAGAAATCAAATTAATAAGCAAGCAAAAGAGAGAGATGGGGCTAACCAATAAGCATGCGAATACCAATTCTTGACATGTAAAAGCGATCTAGGAACTGATGAATCTCATCCAGAGACTCATAATCAATCTTCGCATTCAGGCCTTTCTTTAACTGCTGGACTCCCAAAGCCATCATAGGTACAACATTGTTATGTCTAACCTTAATCATCTTAATCATTTTGGTGAATTCCAATTCATCATTTGTATCCTTGATCTCGGGAATGGATCTAAGGTCACGGAAAGAATCCAAATACCAGTCTCGCACCTAAAAGCAAAACATTTAAAAGGAGATTATTGTTTGCCAAAACCATTGAAATCCATTCTTGAACTTACATTGACAAACCACTTACTAATCTAAACAACTTTCTAACAAAGACTAAACTAGCTATGAATTCGGCACTAGACAGACTCATATTCTTACTGCTAACAATTCACTGTCTGATTGCTGACAAAGAGAATATTGCTGGCATGATAACACCTTAAAACTAAAAGGAAAAGCAAAGCCATATATATATATATGAATGTTTTTTATGATTGTATAATACTTTTGACTTGGGATAGAATCATAGAAATAGAATAGGAGATCTTTTTATGATTATTTTATATTTTGACTTTGTGAAGAGAGAGAGAGAAGAATCCAGAAAGTCTCAACATTTTTCTTCCAATGTAAAACATTTTTTACTTGTCAAAAAAAAAAATGAAAGTCTCAACATTTTTTCTTTTTTTTTTTAATTTCTTTTTTTTTTTTTCTTTTTTTTTTTCTTTTTTTTTTGTAATATGCATAATGGGTTTTATTTTTCAGGCATGTAGAAGATTCCTACAGTGTGGGTCTTAATTTTCTGGCAATCTTGTTGCACAGGTTGGGTGGATTTTGCATGCATTTATAAATATGATGGTGATTCATTTTATGTAATGCAGATCATTGGGATTGTGAGTAAACATCATGTAGAGGAGATATTTGTGTATAAAGGGATCAGACTTTTTCTACACTGGCTAATTACCAAAAGAGGAAAAAACAGAACCAAGTACAGAAAAAGTATGATCCCTTGTACCACTTACCAAATAATATCTTTCTCTACATGATGTTTTAAACATCACTATGTTTACTCACAATCCCAAAGATCTGCACTACATAAAATGAATAATCATCATTTTTATATATAATGCATGCAAAATATGTGCAACAAGATTGCCTGGAAATTAACACTCACATAGCAGTATTCTTCTTAAATAATGGATAACAATTGAAAAACAAAACCCATTCACGCTCTCTTTCCACAAAGTCAAAAGTATAAAATAATCATCAAAAAGATCTTCTCCTATTTTATTTCTATCCTATCCAATTCAAAGTATTAAACAATTATCTAAAACATTTTCTCCTGTTATAATTAATTAATTACAATTCTCACAAAACCCTGATAGAATTAAACCCCATTTCTCAAATTACCCAAAAATAAATAAATAAATAAAATAAACAGTTCAAAATTCAAACCCAGAATCTTAACTTAATTAAATAACAATCAACTAAGGACCTTCAAAATAGCAGGCTTTTCTGATAAACCATAAGGCAGGCTCTCAAGCTCAATTGTTTTCCTCGCAATCCTCGTCGGAAGCTCCCTGTGAAGAAACTGAGCCGCAATCAGCAAATTCCTCTCGGTGGGTGAGGACCCAAACTCCATCATATACCTCAGGCTCACACCCGTCTGCTTCATCCCACCCCATCTCTGCACCTCGTCGATCAAACTCTTCGAGAACGACTCGTACAGCTTCTTCGCCGCCATAGCCCAACTCCAATAAACTCCAACCCTAGAAACAGAGGAGCTCTAACGACGGAGAAATTTGTAGAAGACCCACATGGAAGCGGACTTCACGAAGCGAACCCGCCCACAGAAAATATTCTAGAGAGAGAGAGATGTGGAGAGAGAGAGAGAGACGAGTAGGCAGAGGTTCTGGATTAACAGGCTGTGGTTATGACACGTGTGAGGTTCGGCCTGTTGATTCGGGTGTTTCTGGCACGTGTGAAGCGGTGCGGGTGCTTCGGTATTGGGAAATGTGAAGTGTGGTGACCGTTAAAGCTGGGATTTGTTTGGGCCTGGGCTTATCTGAGAAAGGACAGACAAAATCACGAGGCCATTACTGGACCACTTAACTTAGTCCATATTATGGGCCCTAAGGCCCACCTAGTATTCCTTTTAAACCCTACCAATATATAATTGATTTCATATTGGGTTCACATGTTTGTCGCTAATCTTATTGATGTCCCACTTAATATGGACTTGAGCATCTCTCGCTTCAATATCTGATGTATGGCCTACTCAATTTTGTGTTCTCATTAATAAAAAAACATTTGTATAAGATTTATTGCAATTTTACATGCATCAAATCGTGGTTTTGCTATATTAATTTTCCAATTGACCGACTGAGTTGGGTAGCCCAGTTAGTAGAGGCAATCTCCTGAGTTCTTCCCAATCATTTTGCCATGTGGCTCAATTATAAAATATTTTTATATTTTGTGTAAACAAATACAATATTCAAAGCATCCCATATGTTGAAGTGTGACCAATATTATGAGTGTTCTCAGGAATAATATTACAAGTGCATGCGTTTATTTGGACTTAGGAAAAGTATATATATATATATATATATATATATGCATTGAAGTGTGCGGGGACTTGCAGATGAAATGGGGTTTTCATCATTGTTATGAAATGGGCTTTTCATCATTGTTTCACCCTAAAGAGCTGTAGCACAATGACAGGGCATCTATTGAAGGGTGTGGCTTTGAATACAAACTTTGGTGCTAACTTGTTCCATCTCTTTCATACCTCATTGGCCTTAATAAACTTGTTATATTAAATTGATTCTATGGCACAAATGAAGCCCAAAATAAGTGCAGGACTAGCAAATTCCAATTAAATTTATCATAATATCATTACATTTGTGTTATAACCCAAAAAAATAATAATTAAAAAAAAAAAACCCAACTATATGACATTTAAATTTCACTTTAAGCCCTTTAACTTACATCTTGCACAAGTGGCTTCAAACTTTTAAATTATTCATCATTAACAACAATTAAATAGACAATAACCTAGTTAGTACAATGCCTTCTCTCCAAAGGAGAACTCAAATGTTCAAGCCTCATTGGAAGTGTGAGTGCGTATTTGTTTAACTTTCCAAAAAAAAATTTAAAAAAATATTAAATTGGGAATAGCTTGTTTTTAATCCTATATCCCATGCAACATTATATTGTATCAACACTAATTAGGTACAAAATCAAAATATATAATCCGTATCATGGAGACCAAATCATATAAAATTACATATGTTGAAAGTTTACACTAAGATTTTATTATTACACATCATATCAAATAGACAAATCTATTTCAACCACCACATTAGTTGAATAATGCAGGTTTAACCACTAATGCATTTGGTTAGGAGCATACAAAACTTAAACACAGGCATTAATTAAACATTCCTGTTGGCTATCTGCCAAGAAACTTTGAGCTGTGCAGGAGACCAATGGTTTCTTCTTGAAAACTTCCCTTTTCCTAACTACCAAACATCAAACATTCCAGCTAATTGATTCAAATGAATGATTGGATTATCAACATTAAGTATAATAACATAATGCAAATTAAGCAAATCTATGCTTGTTGCATTTAATCCAATTCCAAGTGTGTTTTTGTATGTTTTTTTTCTCGAGAAACAAACAAATATTTTGTTACTATGTCCCATATATTTGATCATAGCTCTTATGTTATTTTATTTTAAAACTTTGGTCTCATTTGCATGTATGTTCTTGAAACATGGGGCATTGAAGTGTCCTTGCAGAGTGGAAGAGGGGAGGAATCTCACAGAAAAAAACTATTAGATATTTCATATGCATGCAAAGTTTTAATACAATAAAAGGCAATACATGTGTAGTGTGTAGACAGTTATATATTCTGGATATGTCTATAAAAGGCAATATATTAACTCAATTGACTCTGTTTTGCTCGGATATGTCTATGTATATGTGTATATAGTTATATATTAATACAAAATGTACTATAAACAACTTGGTATAATGGCAAACTCATTGACTTTGCATACACTTGCTTCTTTTTCAAAACTTTTTAAAATGGGTTTTTGCCAAGAAATCACTAGTTTGCAGAATTTCAGTAGCTTATATGTTTTCAAGATCTTTGGGGATCTTTTTTTAGTAATGAAAAAGAGATATTGCTAGGTAAATACATCATTAATTATATGATTAATGGGATACGGCATATCTCAATTATTTATCATTATTGTTGTAATTTTTATTTTGATAAGCCATTATTGTTGTAGTTTAAGCTCTCTGTCTCTCACCATACAAATGCTCATAAAAATAGTTTTTTTTTTTTTTTTTTTTTTTTTTTTTTTTTTTTTTTTTTCTTGGTAAAAAATTCACACCCACATGCACCTCTGAAGACTTGAACCCTCGACCTTCTACTTTGGAAAGTAAGGAAGTATTGCTGGACTACACCATTGAACATGTAAGCAAAAAGCTGAAAAAAAACTTGGTATGAAAAGTAAGAGAAATTTTTAGATGGTCCGGCCAATCACCATTGAACATGTAAGCGAAAAAGTTGGAAAAACCTGCACATTTCTGACACCATTACCCATGCGACTAATGGTGATTGGTCCGGACCAATGATCCGGAACGTATAATAATTTCTCTGGAAAATGGTGTTGAATTATGTTTTCTTAAATTTGCCATGGGTGTGAATTAGCCTCCTAACTTTGGCCATATGACTGCATATCTGTCACACTGTTTCTTTGACTATCCAACCTCCAACAAAATGAATATTCACAAAACTCAAGCCTCATGGAGGAAGCAAAGTTCAATTTTCATGAATTTCAAATACCCCAATAATGAGAGTCTGACAATATATTGTTTTAGGGCTAAATATGGTATCCTGTCTGTTCATTTGATCTGACATTTTTCTTCATCGATTACTTGTCTCCACAGATCATAATTACTACTAACTATTCCAATTTAGATTGATGTTTGACTTAACAAATGAATTTAGAAAACTAACTAAAACCTTAAACAGAAACGTGCCATCTGTGTGTGTGTGTGTGTGTGTCAGTGTCACCTTCAAGAGTCATTCTTTTGAAGTCATTCAAAAGAAAAACAATTGCTATTTTCATGCTTCTCTTTTACTGTATGTTAAGCATTACCTACCACTGACAAATCCATGCCTTCTTATTGTCCCCACCCCTCCACCACCAATTCCACACAACCCACAATTCCATGTGCATTGGTGTGTGTTCTCTGCAATTCCCTTTAACTTCTAAAGGAAGTTTCTTTTGTCATCTCTTTTAGTTTGGGATTTTCAAGAGGGTCTTCAGAGATGCACTGATACCCATATGATTCTTCAAAACAAAGGGATTGCTTTGATGGTGTTTGAATAAATTCTTCAGTCATCATTTGCGGGTAATATGAGAAACTCTGCACGTGCATGTTCTTTCTGTTTATATGTATATGGTCATATTCATATTCATATTCATGTTCATTCAATTTTTCGTGGTTTTGATATGAGATGTATGAATGTGTTGTGTTGGTTGTGTTGCTTTGATGTTTTGTTTCTCTTCCAGTTCTATTTTGTTATTGATTGGTTTCTGGAAGTTTAGGACAGGCCAAACCTGAAGCAAATATCTGTGTGTGTGTGTGTGTGTGTGTTTTCCAATTCATATGCCTTGTTGGCTTCATCTTGGGAAAATTGAAAATGATCCCATTTGATCATTTTCTCAATCTCTCTCCATGAATTTTTGTTGTGTTACATGAGTACTGTACCTCTCTCTTTCTCATTTCATTCCAGAACTTTTTGGGACCGAAGGAAATGCTGAAAAATTGCTAATGTTACTCAGCACCAAAATGCATTTGATCTAAAACTGAATAGGCATTAATACTATATGTAAATGATTGTATTAATGTTTGCTGATGGGAAAGTAATGAGAAAACAAGAACTTAGGAAAAAGCTTAATAGCAAAGTTAGTCCATGCTTGAACTAATTGCAGAATCCACAGATATATATGACATATAGGTTATGCACACATAGAACTGCTTTTCTGACTTTTTTTTTTTTTTTTTTTTTGTTCGTTTTTTTCTTTTCGATCTCACAGGCATTCTGGCATTGACAAAAATGGTGTTACACCTCAAAACAGAACTATCAAAGAAAACCCTTGTTTTCAATCTTAAGGTGTGGGAATTAATAGGGATCTTTGTGGGGGTATTTACTGTAATTCTCTTGGTATTATCTTTTTGCCTTGCTTCACGAAAGAAGTCCAGAAGGACTAATGACAAACTTCCTATTAGCCGAATTCCAACTCTGTCGAAGGAAATCAAAGAAATAAGGGTTGATCAAAATTCGGCAAACAACTTTGTTCCTCATGGTAGTGATTTCCTTTTCCTTCTTGAAAAGTTCAGCGACAAAGATAAGCTTTTGATGAAGGCAAATGTAGATAGTAGCAGTCCAGGTTCAGATAATCATTTAGAGGAGGACAGTGATGATTCAGGAGAGAAAGGGTGTCCCGGGACAATTAATGTGCGCAAACCTTCTCCTCTGACTGGTTTGCCTGAAATTTCTCATCTTGGTTGGGGTCATTGGTTTACATTGAGGGACTTAGAAATTGCAACAAACAGATTTTCAAAGAAAAATGTTATTGGTGAGGGTGGATATGGAGTTGTTTACTGGGGTCATCTGATCAATGGGACTCCTGTGGCTGTTAAGAAGCTCCTCAACAACTTGTAAGTTTTCGGACAGAGTGCTATGCGACTCTTATTTCATCTAATTCCCTTCAGATTATTTACAATTTGCCAGCTTATGTGGCTTTCCGAATATTTTACGTAGAGGGCAAGCAGGGAAGGAATTCATGGTAGAAGTTGAGGCTATTGGACATCTCCGACACAAGAACTTAGTTCGACTTCTGGGATACTGTATTGAAGGAACTCATAGGTACCATATTTTCCTTTAAGCTCTTTCTTTTGTTTTTGGTTCATCATAGTAGACAATATTATAGTATTATACACATAAAAATCCTAAGGAATTAAACATTAAAGTTCTTTTAATGCAATTCCTATATTTTCACAAAAAAAAGTATGAATTGGTAATGAAATTTTTTATCTGATTAACTGCACCATCATTTGAATAAAGACAGTTTCATCCTTGCTAAATGGTATAATGTTTATAGAAAAACAAAGGGTATTTTAATGACTTCCTTGTTATATGCAATTAGATTGATTGTAAAAATTTTGTGCAATTACTTGAAATTTGCTTATAGTGAAGATTTTATGTAAATAGAATCTATTGTGATGATAATTTTTGTTAACATGTCATTTAAGTTTTTATAGGGCTTGCACTTACTTTCTTTTCTATTCTATATTGAATTTCAGGATGTTGGTTTATGAGTATGTCAGCAATGGCAATTTAGAGCAATGGCTTCATGGAGCTATGCGTCAGCACGGATATCTTACTTGGGAGGCGCGCATGAAGGTTCTTCTCGGCACTGCTAAGGCGTAAGTACATCCATAGATTAATATGAGTTACACTTGTGATGAATTTTATTTCCTTTTCACAATTAGTATACTTGTTGCAGGCTTGCCTACTTGCACGAAGCGATTGAGCCAAAAGTGGTGCATCGGGACATCAAGTCAAGCAACATACTGATCAATGATGACTTCAATGCTAAATTATCTGATTTTGGTCTGGCCAAGTTGCTTGGTGCTGGAAAGAGTCATATTACAACTAGAGTTATGGGTACCTTTGGGTGAGTTTTTTTTTTTTTTTTACTTCTTTTTGTTTCTTATGATTAATATTTTGATGCAGATGCAGATGCTCACTAGTCGGGAAATAATCATCATTTTTTTTTTGTTTTTTTGCTGATTTTTAAATTGGACAGATATGTGGCTCCAGAATACGCGAATAGTGGCCTTTTAAATGAGAAAAGTGATGTCTATAGTTTTGGGGTTGTCCTCTTGGAAGCAATTACCGGAAGAGATCCAGTGGACTATGATCGCGCTCCAGATGAGGTATGCAAGAATACAATTTTCTTACCACAATAAATTTGTTGAATTTCTCAGCTTTACACTGAATTTTATACCGCTGAGCTATTACAGGAAGATGTTTCAGTTCAAATCACCAATCTAAGTTCATGTGAAATGATACTTGTATATACTATGTGTAATCTATGGGACACAGTAAATGTTTTCATTTACATATTGCAACCTTGTGTGGTTAAACCTTTCAAATAGTGGTCTACTTCATCTATGTGCATTCAGTGGTTACTATAAGTAGGCACTTAGAGTCACATTCGTCGTGGTTTCTGAATTTGGTGGTTCTTGCAGGTAAATCTGGTTGATTGGCTTAAGATGATGGTTGGCAGCAGGCGCTCAGAAGAAGTGGTTGATCCAACTATTGAGATCAGGCCGTCTACAAGTGACCTTAAACGCGCTCTCTTGACTGCTCTGAGATGTGTTGATCCTGATGCTAATAAAAGACCACAGATGAGTCAAGTTGTACGCATGCTTGAATCCAAGGAATATCCCATACCACGAGAGGTTCGATTCTGAGATATAAAATTGAAACTAACATTTGTAATGTGAATTTGCTACAAGAGAAAAAAATTAAAGTAAAGAAAATATATCAAACTCTTCAAATATCTGCTGCATTAGTGACTCTTCCGCAAACTAGTCTTTTTTGTCAAAACAAGATCCAACTAAACTCAAGAATAATGCATTTAACTAGATAATGTGATTCTTTTTCTTATGTTTTTTACTCTCTAAAATTTGGAAGTTGAATTTGAAACATTGTGTGAATTGATCAGCCCCCTAAATGTGACACATTTGGAGTTTCAGGATCGAAGACGCCAAAGGAGTCGCACTAGGTCCATAGAAGGTGCAACTCAGGGGGACAACTATGAAACAGATAAAGTGAAAATTCAGAGAAGCACCGGGAGAGGACAAGCAGGCAAGTGATTATAGGATTCGAGTGACATGAGCTGGAATGCCAGTCCCACATTCTTCCCATCTTCTGATTAAATAAGGAGAGTTCGTGACTCTTATCATGAGAGAGCTCTCTTGATAGCATTACTATTTCTGTACCTCGGTTGGGAACAAGAGCAGGCAGTGAATTACAAAGGAGGGTTCGAATATTTTTTCTTTTAGTTTCTTTTTCTTATCTCTAGAGTGTGGATAAAAGATTATTTAGCGACGAAAAATGGCATTAGCATGAAGTACCCCTATAGCTGGTGGTGTGTACAGGTCTTTTGCTCTTTAAGCTTTATTTCTTTTTGGATCATAGGCCTAGGCGATGACTAATGAGTTGTTCCTGTTTTGTGATTGCATTTGAAAGAATGATTTCTGTGAATATTCAAAACTTTGGTTGTCAAATTCAAGCCCAATATTGGGTATTAGTACCAAACTATATCAATCCAGTTATTGCTTTACCTCACATCTCCTTCTTGGTGAGAAAATAGATAGTCCAGGACCATGTGGTCTTGACCAAAATCACAAGATAAATTATTATATTGTTCGTGACTAAATAGTCACGGCCAATTACAACTTGACACGCAAACAATTGTGTCAACTTTATTCAAATCTATGCTTAATAGTGGAGTTGACTAGGACCATATAAAAATTTATTCAATCACAAGATGTCACACAACTAACCAAAAGACTGAATAATGCTGATTGATTTAGTTGATGGTAGCTTGTGATTCGCCGAGACTGAGGACCGTTTATTTATTTATTCTGTTGAGAGAAATTATTATATGGCCATGGGACCATTGGTAACAAATAGTGATTGGTTACAGATCAATGGCTCGGGACCATGTAATAATTTTTCGTCGCACAGCCCTGCCTCCAGTCAGAAACTTACCTTTCTGGGCAAGAATTAATCCAGTTATTGCTTGAAGAGAATTAGAAGTTAAGCGAAAATATAATGGGTTCACAATTGACTGGCCCATTTGGATAAAGTATTGGGCCTTAGGCCCAGGTCCATCCATTCAGCTTAAACTTTCAGAACTCAGGCCTTAGCCCACATCTTCTTACATACTACAATTGCAGGCTTTATGTACAGACAGACTTGTTACATAATTATCTAAAATTTGACAAGCATTCACGGAATATGTGACTTTTGATCACTGATAATAATCACTTTGCAAAATTGTTATCATAATCACTTTTTCAGTTTCAGATTAGGTAAGACTAATAAATTTGGGACCCATTATAAAGTCTGCAAAAATAAATGCTGATTAAGGTTGTCCTTGCAAATTTTCATTAACTCACAGTATTAATTGTTTCTTTTTCCAAATATTATATATATACATATTCATATTCATATATACTCCGTATATATATATATATATATATATATAAAGAGAGAGAGATGCCTTTATTTCTTTGATTCATATGTCTTTTGGAAAAGAACCGAAAAAAAGGCTGAAATTCCGAAAGAGGGACAAAAAAGAGGTGTAAAGGCAGCGATGTAACGGTCAACGTGACGCCAAATAAGCTTTAACGCCAGGTTTGGTGAAATGACGGAATGTGCCATTGTGAATTGGCATAATGTCACATATTTGCAGATGGAAATATCTAAATGCCTTTCGTGGGTCCCTTTTAAAGTGGATATGATGTGGGATCACTATTCAATTGGATCCCAAATCAAAGATATTTTCAGGAAGAAGAAGAAGAAAAAAAAATAAAAAAAAGATTTGGTGGTCTCGAGATTATTGATCTGATATTCTGATCAGTTATTATTGAATACGTAAATAAAAAATTGTATATTTTTGATATAATTATTAACAATATTTAATGGTGATTGGCTTTAGATTATTTTTTTCAAGTAAGATGGATGTTTTTGTGTAACTTGAAGATATCCGACACTAATATCATATGTGTCGTCGAAATTCAAACACAATTAAAAATATTTAAAATATTTTATTTTTAAATTGAATAATGGCAACCACCCAGCATAGATATGTTTGGGACTCTTTCAAACTTTGACATATGGTTTTGTGATAATTATTTTTTTTTTTATAAAAAAATTGTAATTTAAAATATAGTATGAATTAATATCAAGGAGTTGGCTTTGCAAGGTGTCCTGAAAATGTATTCACGTCGTGTTCTACTTATATCTGTATTAATTAGATCTAGAGTTATTCGAGAGTGTTTTTTAAATTCAACAAAGAAAGTGATGTAAGAGCTTTTTTTAAATTAAACTAAGAGAGTTTTTTCTTTCTTTCTTTCTTCCTCTGTTAATAAACTCAATTATATGTGCCTTGGTGAGACTTTTGAGCATGTATATTATATATATATACATATACATGTATCAAACACATCAATTGTTAAACAAAAGGATGACCCATTTTAGTACTAATCATGTTTATCTTGTTAAGAGTGGTTGGTCATTAAATGCACCCATCAGAGTCTCTTTTTGAATGAGATTTTGGCTTTACTTTGTTGGAAATTTCACCATGTTCCCACTTCACATTCGTGTCTGGACTTACATTAAAAACTATTAGTGACTAGACATTGAAAAAGATTCCAAAAGTGCGCGAGTTTTTTTTTTTTTTTTTTTTTTTTTTTTTTTTAATTATTTTTTTTATGGATAGTGGAGATTTTTATAATTGCTATTGGCTATGTAAGATTTATTATGTTGTAAAATAAAACTAAACATATGGTATAATCAATTTGGACAATATTTACTTATGGATACTTCACATATTATTGGGATTTGAATCATGGTTTACAGTATTAGTCGCGATTGTAATCGCAGTATCGATCACGGTGTAATGGATTCGGACAAGATCAATATAAACTAGTCGAATCGACCAGTAGAGAACCTTTGAAAAACGGTCGCGTATTGACCGAATTGGCCAGTACAAAGGTCGTGTATCGGTCAATACAGCGAATCATGATCTGAATTATCTACTATGAAGGGATCATATAACCTATCATGTGTCTTAAAATGTTAACATTTTGAGGCATAATTAGCAATTCATTAAAATTTATTAAGACAATATTTGCCCATTCGTGATGGGGTGAAGAGAAGGTGGTAGTAGATTGAGAGGGTGAAGGGTGATGGCTATCGTTAAAGGGTGGGAGTATGAGAGACAAAAGAATAGAGTGATAGAGATATGGAAGGTTGTAATAAGATAAGTGGTTGTGTCTCAAAACCCTAATTTTTAAGCACATGATAAGATTACAGGACCTCCTCCACAAGTAGAGATCCAAATATCTCCGCCATGTTGATGTGATACCATCTTATACTGACACATCACATTTAGGTTTTTTAAAAAGTTGAAAAGAATAGAAATAGAAGCCAGGTCTTCTTTTATATGCATTTGTGATTAAAATTTGAACCACAGTAGCTGTTAGAGAGAGTAACTCCTCAACTATTAGATAGGAATTTTCCACTAATTTTAGTACGGATAGGTCTCACATAATATCTAACGGATTGGATCGAATCAGTTCAAACAGCTTTATTCGCTAATGTCAATTACTTTTTAATTTGCTTTTCCTTATCTAACTTTTCCAACTCCTTTAACGTATAAAAATGCCACCCTTTTCCACTTTAAAAACACTACAATGTGTTATTGAATTTGTTTGTTAACTTTCAAGTACCGTTATACATATTTTGGAAAATATTTTTAACATTTTCAGGTATTTTGTTGCTTGTAAAATATATTTTTTTCCTTCTCTAAATGAAAGTAGATTTCGGAACCATGAAAATAGAACATGCATGTTGGTTTGACTTCCCATTATGTTATAAATATATATGTTTTATTTCTACTCACATGTAACCATACTAGTTATTGTCTCCACCATATATATATATATATATATATCATCATCATCATCATTTTTCTCATCGTTGTAATATGTACAGATTGTTTAATTTAAAGGTTAAAAAGACACTTTAAACCCATACACTTTACACAACATATAGATATGTATATATTGATTTTGAAAATTAAAAACCGTTCAATGCATAGTCGCGTAATCTCTCTATTTGTTTTGATACACGAGAAATAAATTTTTATAAGAAAATAGGTATGACTGTGCGTTGGTTCGATGTATAGATGCAACCTCTCAAAGGTTTTCCTGCCCGAGTGTCCACTGTGTACCGTGCACTACAATTGGGTGATTCTGAGTTTTTGATGTTTGACCACCTCTCTCTCCCATGTGCAGTAGGGGACACCAATGATTTTGTATGGAGTGTGGATCCTTAATTCTATTTATTCCTCTCTTTGTATATATATATAATTATATATATAGGCCTATATATATATATATATATGGGAAAGTACGGAGAGCAAAAGAAAATTAAAGAGAGAAAATGCTAATTATATGACACCCACCCATGCACTATGTCCATCTCCACAAACAAAGCTCTATTGTCCATACCCTTCACATGACCTGCCAACCGCTTGGTCTGGTCTGGGACCGCATCATATGAACAGTTCTTTGAATTTAGATGTGAGCTGTTGAGACTCCGAGTGATCCCAAATCATTGGTGGATCCGATGTCGTAGTGCACAAGCGTTGAGCTGCATACTATTATGAATAATTCACAATTTTCGTGCATTTCTACCCGTGTAAGGATTGTGTAGACCTTCAATCGTGGGCCCTCATATGCTCCAAATGATCCTTACTCAACCCCAAACATATCGTCTATATGAGCGATGAGGATTAATAATACGGATGGCATTTTGAAATCATTTTCTGAATTTGTATTTAAAATTAAATTAAATTGTTGCTTGATTATCACAATTTCGCTTTCTTCTTACTTTTGGGAGGTTTGGCAATGAGACAGGGAGATAAGAGAGGTACAATTATGAGAAACAAGTGGGAGGGGCTTCACTATCCGAGTAGAGAATACGATAAGCTAGTAGTGGATGCACTATTCATTAATGGAATCTGATAAAATTAAAGTCATTCAAGGACAACATTGTCCTCGATTGACCCAAGACCCATAAATGTTTGTCCTGTTGAACGTTTTGCATTGATAAATAGGAAGAAGAAGGAAGAAAAAAATTGGATAGGACTTGTAGGACCTATCCTTTCACGGCATTGATAAATAGGAAGAAGAAGGAAGAAAAAAATTGGATAGGACTTGTAGGACCTATCCTTTCACGGGATAAGTTTATATGAAATTAGTTTGGGTTAATTTTGTTCTAAGAAATTGTTTTTTCAACAGTGTTTTCTCACAAAATTTTGTTAAGGACTCTCACAAAATTTTGTTAAGGCCATCCATTGCAAAGGGCAAAAGAAAATATACACATGCTTCGTTTGTAACACTGGAAATAGTTTTCAGAAAATAGAAAATAGTTTTAAAAGAATTATAAAAAACTGTTATCTGAAAATAGACATTTTTATAACTAAGTTTTCAGATAACAGATTTCAGAAAACTGAACCTAACAAAAAAATTTGTACAATTTTCTATTTTCAGTTTTTCAAGAATAGAAAACTGTTTCCATAGTTACAAATCAAGCAAGCCTAACTACTCCAACTTAGACAAGTTCGTAAAAAAGAAATGTTATGTATTTTAATTGTTAATTAAACTTTGCTTATGATTAAACATCATATATATATATATATATATATATATATATATATATATATATATTTTGTAGTATCTCACAGTACAAATCTATTGGCAAAAATGTGACGTAGTCATTGTTATATTTGATGAAATTTCACAATTGTAGTTTTACTTCTGTTGAATACTTATCAAGTGCATGAAACTTCCACTATTACGGCATCCGGAGAAAATCTGGCATAACAAATTAAGCATTTGTTGAATAAAAGGGATATTTTATTATTAAAGAATAAAAGCTAAAAATCCAAAGTACTCTCAAATTTTCACACTCCACGTGATTTTTCTAATAAATCAAATTACATGCTAGGTTTTAAAATTTTGTAATGGTGTGTGAGAATTGTGTGTAGGGTGCAAATATATTTAATTTTATTTAAAATGGTGTTTTCATATTGTTTGTGCTCTGACTCATCTGATTAAAAGCAACCAAAACTTACCCATGATAAAATCCAACATTCTCCACTATCCAACAATCACAAGTCGCTCTCACAAAGGGGGTCCCACTTTTTGAGTGGTCTCAATCCACATGTCCTATTTCCATACTTACATGTGTAGCTTTTTGTATAATACACATAAATTTTACATCAATTTCCAAAATGCTTCAAATTTAGCTCATCATGCTTGTCTTTATATGAATATATGTCACATAATTTTTTTTTTCATTTATTCCCTGAATTTATTTATTTATTTTCATTTTTTTCTATTAAATGTTATGTCTTCAATTATATTTAATTAATATTTTAAAGGTAAAATTTTTCAAGAGTGTGCTTGCTACACGTAATTAGAATATTGGAATTGAAATTGGTGAAATTTAAGAAATTTTTTATTCAAAATTTTTTAGTTATTTTTTAAAAAATTTCACAAATTCCAATTCCATACAACTAAATACACCCTAAGTACCTTTTTGATATATATATTAGTCAAATAGTTTGAACATTCACTTATTCTCAAAACGTTTATTTTGGAAGATAGGTGAATCTCAATTAAATTAAAAAAATTCTATAATATAAATGATATTAGGTGCGTTCGACTATATAGAATTAAAGCATTGGAATAAAAACAGGTAAATTAGAAAATTTTTGATTCAATTTTTTTAATTATTTTTCTCAAATTACACTGATTCTGATTCTAATGTTCTAATTTCAATTTCAAAATCCAATTCCATATAACAGAACACACAAAGTATTTTATACTTACCACTATTTTTTCATGTCAGACAAAATTTGTTTGGATGGTGAGTTTTACCATATTATAGTAGTCGACGAGTCTAACTTGTTGACAAACACTACCAGTTAAGGACAAGCACAAACTACTGCGGCGTAAAAGCATTAGAAAGGTAGTGATTTTTAAAATATAGCAGAAACTCTTGTAATCGTGGAACAACTCAGCTGAAGTTATTGCAACTTGCACATGAAATTTACTTTTTAATGATTTGAAAAGTAAGGTATTTGACGGGATCAAATTCATGCGCGGTTAGTTGTACTTGTTGATATGCGATTTATCGATTAATTCGTAATTCTTACTTCAATACGGTTACATTCTTATAAACTAATCAATTTATATTAATATTGTTCTGATTTCGTTATACTGTGATCAAAATTAATACCATAATTGCAATTCATAGTTTCACCATATAAATACGGTCTGATTACTAATTTACTAGTGATTGTGTATTATATATATATATATATATATATATCGTCCATTTGACACATTGTTTGTGTTACCGTTTTCAATCTGCCAGAACACTTCCGTATACAATGTGTGACGCGACAATTACTCTTCTTAGGATCCGTCACAGCATGGCTTTTACTGTTTTACATGCTCTCTCATTTTATGATATACGTAGTATGTCACAACTGACACAGAACCTTTGCACCTGAAGTCAAAATGACTAGAGAATAAACTAATTATTCAATATAAAAAATATATATATATTTTCTTTTATTTTGACTTTGGCATTTTAACAACAAAATTAGTTACATTTTTAACATTTACAGATTACCACCGTGAGTGCGAAAAACACGGACGTTGGGTTAGATTCCCTCAAAATTGGCGTCATAGAGTGTACTATATATTACTAATTTATTGTGTACTATATATATAATTATTTATACATATATATATATATATATATCTATATATCAAATAATTATATTATATACTATCGGTCATCAAACCTTTTTTCGTTGTCGTCCCTATTTTCCTTCTGCAGTTGTTTTTATTTTTTTCACTTTTTTGGCCGTCCCCGATATTCTCTCTTTCTACACAGTCTCTCCTCCATTTCGCCGGCGATCTCCGCACACCAGCCACGCCACCACGACCCACACGACTTTGGATCGAACCCCACCACCGAACGAATCTATCGGCGGCAAGTGTATTATCTGTTCTCATCTTTTTAGTTGTTGAATTACAGCTGTTGTTGAGTGTTGTGTGTGTCTGTTATTGTTCTTAGTGATGATGTTAGGATAATCAATACACCTTTTTGGCGATGTAACTGAGGGGTTTTTGGTGTGGTGTTGTAGTTGAGCGAATTCGTGAGCGAATTCGTGGGTAATTTAGGGGGATCTCTGGCATGTGGGTTGTTGTCAATTGGATCATGGATGTGTCGGTGTACTGTTTCTGGATTTCTGGGGGAGTAGAGAGGCTGATTAGGAGGTGTTTGGGTCGTTCTATTTTAGGTGAACAAGAGCTACTCATAACTTAATTTAAGGGTATAATTAAGTGTGCTTGATCTTTTGTGTTTTCTAGGGTTGTTGTTTTGTTGGATATATATATTTTTCTGCTGGAATTGCAATCTAGGATCTTTTTATTCGGCTTAAAATTTGTGGGTATTTTCGAAATTTGATCAATGGAGGCTAAATTTGGGGGAAAGGCTCATCATTTCTATGGTCCGGTGGTGTCGGATTTGAAGGCTGTTGGGAAGAGGACTATGGAATGGGATTTGAATGACTGGAAATGGGACGGAGACTTGTTTACTGCTACTCCACTTAATTCTGTGCCGTCAGATTGCAGGAATAGGCAGTTGTTCCCGGTTGGGTCAGAAATTCCGGCCATCACGGGGTTGTCAAACAGTTCGTCCTCCTGTTCAGATGAAATAAATTTAGGGAATGAGAAAGGAAAGAGGGAACTAGAAAAGAGGAGGAGGGTTGTCATCATTGACGATGAAGAGCTAAATGATGGAGCTGGGTCACTTAATTTGAAGCTTGGTGGGCAAGCGTACCCCATAATGGAATCGGAGGGGAAAAGTGGGAAGAAGACCAAAGTTGGTGGTGCTACCTCTAATCGTGCCGTTTGTCAGGTAGAGGATTGTCGAGCTGATTTGAGCTCTGCAAAGGATTATCATCGACGGCACAAGGTTTGCGATATACATTCTAAGGCCAGTAGAGCATTGGTTGGCAATGTTCTGCAGCGATTCTGTCAGCAATGCAGCAGGTCGGTCCTAATATAAAGACTGTTTGTCAATGCTTTTTATAGTAACCTCTGCTTGCGGAGATCATTATCGGGTCTTCATGAAATAACATACATGCTATTCAATTAGTTGCTCTATGTCTTATCTGCACAAAAAAAAAAAAAAAAAAAAAGAATAGCCCTGGATCACAAACACACAATTCACAAAGTTTTGTCAGATTTAAGTCCTATCTTTTGGTTTTAAAGTATTTTCAGCTGGGTCATAGTTCTGTCATTATGTTAAGCGCGGTTCTGTTCTGGAGAAATTCTAGGAAAAAAAAGATTGTAATTTGTGAAGCTTATGACAGGTTTCACGTTCTTCAAGAGTTTGATGAAGGAAAGAGAAGTTGTCGTAGGCGTTTGGCAGGTCATAACAGGCGAAGGAGGAAGACACATCCAGAAAATGTACTTAATGGAGGGTCCCTTAATGATGAGCAGAGTAGTAGTTATTTATTGATTAGTCTGCTGAGGATACTCTCCAATATGCACTGTAAGTATATATATCTTCTTGAAGTTTATACATTCCTTTCTTTACAATACCATGTTTGGACTTGATTTCATACAAGATTTTGTGCTAGAAGCGGTCAGTTGATATCAATGTTGTTGTGCTTTGGCTTTTAATGGTGCGAGTAAATTTCTTTCTATTTGTCATATTGTAGTCAATTCTCTAAAATGAATACTAAGTAATCTCGTCTGAGAATGTACATGTGTTGATATATCTTCACTTTTCTTTCCATATAAGCAAACACTCCCTTTAGGTGGAAGTGACAACCTGTAAAGAATCTAAAGGTTGGTAGAATTCTTGATTTCTTAATAAGAGAGTAACTTTTTTCCAACCATCTCTTTCAGTTGGATGAATTATGAATAGACAATAAAGTGAAAAAAAAAAAAAAAAAAAAAACTAGGGGTGCTTACTCCATAGTTCAGTATAATGGTGCAATCTTCTCTGCACAAAAAAAAAAAAAAAAAAGAAGAAGAAAAAGAAGAAGTTTCTATAGTGAAACATTGAAGGCAAGGACAGGTGAACCGAACATCTGTGTTTGGAGACGTGATATGGAATTTTGGAATTATGACCCAGGCTGCACTGCTGTTGGTGGAAGTTGTGTCTTCGGTATATTTTAGTGGCTTGTCTTTAATAATGTATTTATGCCGTTGATATCAGTTGCAATTTGGTTGAAGGAGTTCATGTTGATTAGTTTTTTTGAGGTGCTCTTAAGCAACTCTATGTCAACTTAAGTTAAACTTCAATCACTTAAAGCTTGAAATTCCCTACAGAATCAAATGGAAGTGTGATGAAACTCGAAGTGCCAATTTAAGGTTCTAAAGGTTTTGAAAATTTAATCAGAGTTGAGCATTGATGACTCCTGAAGTGGACTTAGTGCTTCCAAGTACACATTGCATCCAGAAAGGAGATTCAGGGTCATCAAGAACCTAGTAGATCTGATTTCCTTGCTGCTAGGTCAGGCAAAGGATCCATTAAAGGATTTTCAAGTTGCAGTTATACATAGCAAGCTCAGTTTTTGGAGGGTGATGATACTGAACAGTGCGTAGAATTTGGACAAAGAAATCTAGAGATTCGACATCTTATACTGAAATCAAGCCATTTCAAATTCAGACAAGAAGAGAATGATTAAATTAAATTTAACGTATTTTCATTAGTTGTGCCTTACAGTTTCAACCAAATTAGATTTGGTACCAAAAATTTATAATGGGTTGTTTACAGTGAAGCCCCACCTCCCCCCTGTTTCCGTAGAAGAAGAAGGAGGAGGGGGGGTGGAAGATGGAGAAGATTTTTCTATCTGTTGGGTATTAGGAGAGAGAATTGTACTTTGGAGCTTAAGAATCTATCAGAGACATTGTTCTGTTCCTCAGAGCATTATTTTAGGAATTGCTTTGCTATTGGGTGGGCCTTGAGTGTTGCTGTTGTTTGATGATTAATTGGCTGATTTGCAGTGGATTTAGATCACTTGCATCCTGAATTGTACACCGGTATTTCCATGTATTAATCCTTTATTGCCAGAATTAAACTAACTTTATTAAACATGAATTAATTTACCAGTAGACTCATGGTTAAATTTGTGCGGTCATACTGCAATATAAGGTAATCGCAAGGATGGTGTTGCAGAATGTGACTGGTGTTATGAGTTGTTTGCTCTACTACGTGAAAATTTGATAATGAGAATGGTGCTTTATCTGGTCCTTGAAAATTCTGATGGCCATTAATAATGTCTGTCTCTCTCTCAGCACACACCCCCAACACCCCCACCCCCCAAAAAAAAACCTTGGTGCTTCTTTATGAACGTCTTTAGATCTAAACTTTTAGGGACTATCTGAAAACAGCGTTTGAAATCTTGTAAGCAAATGTGAACATCATTGAATTAATGATATAAAACCTTGTAAGCAAATGTGAATGCTGAATTTTGAGAACATCATTGAATTAATGATATAAAATTTTCTTTTTTATTCAATTGAGTGGTTTTTTTGGCATTTTCTTTTATTTCTATTATATATCCTTTACATGTCATGATGATTGCCATACTTATTTAACTCTAAAAGTTTTTCTCTCTATGAACTGCAGCTAATAGCTTAGATCAAGCAAAGGATCAGGATCTGCTATCTCATCTATTGAGAAACCTTGCTAGTCTGGCTGGTACAATTAATGGTAGGAACATACCAGGGTTACTGCCTAGTTCTCAAGATTTGCAAAATGCTGGGACGTCTGTTGTGATTCCAGAAAAGGTGCCAACTCTAATTTCAAATGTTCTTAATTGCATTTTGCTTTTTGGTTCAGCTTCTAAGATGGATGATTGCATTGATATTCAGGACCCTCCGAGGTCTATCGGACAATGTGTAACCGCATCTGCATCTGAAATGACACAAAAGAGGATATTTACAGATGATGCTCAGGGTGGAACGTTAAAAACTCCATCTGCCTCAAAATCCTCTCTTCCGTTTCCTACAAAAGACTGCATTCCACCCAAAACAAATGTCCCAGAGATTACAGAGGGAAGGATCAAACTTACTAACATTGATTTGAATAACGTTTACGATGATTCTCAAGACTGCACAGAGAACTTGGAGAGGTCTTGTGACCCTGGGAATCTAGGGACTGGGTCTCTTGATTGCCCGATATGGGTCCACCAAGATTCTCACAAGTCAAGCCCACCTCAGACAAGCGCGAACTCAGGTTCTACATCTACCCAGTCACCATCAAGTTCTAGCGGAGAGGCTCAGGTATTATTATTTTAGTTTTTTGCTTGATTGCATTAAATTGAATGGTTACAACTTGAAATAAAAAAAGTGAAAGTTAATTGACATAAATAGCTGAACTAATTCAAAGAGTCTTAAAAGTATTTTATGGTTCGCCGAACCAGCTGGTTTACAACGGACACAACAGCTACCAAACCCGTGTAAACCAGTCAAACTCAAATTCACGTCAGAACTGGCTGATTTCCTGGAGAATTGGCCGGTTTAAAGCTGAATCCTAGTGTTTTTGCTGAATCGTTTAGTTACCTCGGGAATGACCGGTTCACTCCAGTTCAACATGAATTTGGTCTGGTTCATACTGGTTCAAGGGCAAAATCACCCGGTTCAGTCTTGCGTCTGGTTTGGACTGGTTCAACCGGCCCCGAACTGAACACCTATTAATAACAAAGGTGCTTAAAATGTTAAAGGTGAAGAGAAGATTGAACCTGAGACCTTTTGGAACAATAAACATAGCTTTGACCACCACACCACATCATGTTCTTGTAAACACTCTGCACAATTTTGCTTGTATGTCTATTTACATATATAATCCTTGGAATGCTTAAATAAAATCAAAAGTTAATTTATATATAATCAATAATATGATAGTACATCACGTGGATAAATTATCGCTCCCGCTTTCAAATTTTTTAATTATATTTTTGTTTAATTCTCATGCATAAATTGTAAGTTTTTTGTTATATGCATCTTATATATGTAATGATTCATAATCTTCTTCATACTTTTGACTTGTACTATAAATTATTTATTTATTTTCAGATTTTTTAATTTCTCCTTTCTGTTTTTAAATTTTCATATGATGTATGAAATTTATTTTATATAAAATTGCTCCTACTGTAAAATGATAAGCATGAAAACACGGGATCAAATCCTAAGAGCAGCTACTTCGGGCAAATAATGCCAAAAGTTAGATTTGTATCTAGTCCACCATCCTAGCACCCTGGTCCGGTACCATAGTGGGTAATGAACCCTTGTAAAATTTTCACTTATAAGGAAGTAGCTCAGTGGTAGTAATTTGACGTTCAAATCTTGCATCTTTTTCACTTTATGCATTATAAGTAAAGCACAACAGAATGAATCATGCCTCTTACCTGTGCCATATCATTGATACCATCCATGAGAAGTAGATGGTGCTATTATATGAAAACATGTGAGTACGTGAACTGACAAGGCAAATTTGCGGATATTGGAATTTGAATTCGTGGATTTGGGGCGCATTTGCTCTCAATCTGCTGATTTGCACGCTGAATGTGGGAGCGGACAATATCTCCACACACACACATGCGCGTGCATTGATGGATAGACTCCCACAACGCACATGTACTTAGTTATCCATCATTTTTTTAGTTCCGGAGATGATATGGTGTGAAATAGTACTGCCAAAGCGTTTGGCGTAAGGAATTAATTTGCACTTCTTATTTCCTGTTCTTCGAATGATGTTTCCTTTTTATAATATCCGTTTCCTCTTTCCTAAAGTTACTTCTATTAGATTCATATTTTTAGTATATGAAAAGTTCAGTCATGATTTGTCATCCAAGTCTTATTTTCTTAACTTTTGAGTTAATTTTTTGTACTATAAAGAAACTTTGGTTCAACCATTGCATAAAGATTGGATGAAGCATGCTCCTTCATATAATTCAGATAGAGCTATTTAAATTTTTTTATTGGCCTAGAAGGCTTCTCTTAACTGCAGTCTTTTGACTAATTTCAGGGCCGCACAGATCGAATTGTTTTCAAACTCTTTGGGAAAAATCCAAGTGATTTCCCTCTTCTTCTGCGAAAACAGGTATTTCTGGGCCATGCGGTTGTTTGAGTTAACTGTTTAATCTTTACCTCCACAAAACATTTGATTTTGTTTAACATTAAAATTTCAGATCCTTGACTGGTTATCACACAGTCCTACTGAGATTGAGAGCTACATAAGACCTGGCTGTATCATATTAACAATATATCTTCATTTGAAAAAGTCCGCATGGGAGCAGGTGAGCTTTTACATTATTGCCAGAAATGTGGATTGGTAAGTTTCATTCCAGAAAATCCACTTCTAATCTTCATAGTCACTGTTGCTGTGTATAGCTTTGCTGTGATCTGAGCTCCAGTTTGAGTAGGCTTCTGGATGAATCAAAAGATTCTTTCTGGAGAACAGGATGGGTGTATACTAGGGTGCAGCATCGTGTAGCATTTATATATAATGGTTTGTTATTGTTTCTATGTAGTTCTCTGTTTTTGCTCCTGTTGTTACTATTTTCTATTATGTCACTTAATGAGTGATCGCAATACTTCTATTTGGAAATTTTAAAATGTTGATTACTTTTATTTGTGCTACAGGTCAGGTTGTTTTAGACACATCTTTACCACTTAAAAGCCGTAAAAATTGCCGGATCTCAAGCATCAAACCGATTGCAGTTTCTGTTACTGAGAAATCTCAATTTTCAGTTAAAGGCTTCAACTTGTTTCAGCCAACCACAAGGTTTCCTTTTCTCCCGTTTGGCTGATGCATGAATATTGTGCTTTGAGACAAGATTTTTAGTTTCAGTTTTTGTCCAAAGTTTTTGCAACCAAGTGTTACATATATTAAGTCAAATTTACCTTCTATTTCAGGTTACTCTGCGCACTAGAAGGAAAGTATTTAGTCCAGGAAAGTTGTTATAATGTGATGGATGGTGATGATACATTCGTGGAGCATGATGAGATCCAATGCCTTAGATTCTCCTGCTCTATACCAAATGTTACTGGGAGAGGATTCATTGAGGTGATTTCATCCCTCCTGTTTTCACAGCATATCCTGTGGTTCTTTATGCAATAATATTCAGTCTATGCACCTGAACTAGTATTGATCCAACAACTTTGATGTATTACCTATCCAAGAAAAAGAATAAATATGTAAATGAATAAAATTGGTCTATATGCTGTGAAGCCATTTACCTGCTACTTTTGATTAGAGTTGGCTGATTTAACAGTTTGATCAATTCAATCCTAGACTATGTTGTTAGAGTACAATGATTCGACTTGAACATTTTCCATATGTTTTTTGTTCCGATTTTCAAGTTAAAATTTCAGACTTGTAGAAGTTGCCTTACTTTTATGAAAATCATGGAGTTTGAGACCTTATGGTGAGTGTAACCAACTTATTTTTGGTTTAAAAATTGTCTTTGGAAGTGAAATTTATTAGTGGAAGTTTTTGTAAGTTTAGAAAAGTTAGCTGCTTAATTTTTTACCTGGCCATTCTGAAACTTTAATCTTTCCTTGTTTCTTGCCTAGGATCTCTGAAGGAAAAATGGGTCCTTTATACTTACCAAAAAAAGTGGGTCCTTTACTTGTTTCTTATTTTTAGCAAGCGATCATTCAAGAAATAGGATGAATGGACACACTTCTCTCTCTATCTCATACACTTATTCCTATTGTTTGAATGATTGTTCTCTTTTTCTGATCTACACAGGTCGAGGACCATGGTCTCAGCAGCAGCTTCTTTCCATTTATAGTTGCAGAGCAGGATGTTTGTTATGAGATTTGTAAACTAGAGAGTGCAATAGAGGAGGCTGAGACTGCTGATGCTGATGAAAGTCAGGGAAGATCTGAGATAATAGAAGCCAGGGATCAAGCTTTGGACTTTATACAGGAAATGGGTTGGCTTCTTCACAGAAGTCACTTGAAGTTTAGATTGGGCCATATGGATCCCAACTTAAATCTATTTCCTTTCAGACGTTTCAGGTGGCTCATGGAGTTCTCCATTGAGCACGATTGGTGTGCTGTAGTTAAGAAACTTTTGGGCATTCTGTTCAATGGTAGTGTAGATGTCAGTGAGCATCCTTCTCTTGAATTTGCATTGCAGGAGATGGGCCTTCTTCACCGAGCTGTGCGGAGAAATTGCAGGTCTATGGTGGAAGCCCTATTGAGATATGTTCCAGACACAGTTTCGAATGAAACAGGATCTGAACAGAATCAACATATTGGTGGGGGCAATAAGTTCTTCTTTAGACCTGATGTCATTGGCCCTGGGGGTTTGACTCCTCTTCACATAGCAGCCAGTGGAGATGGCTCTCAGAGTGTTTTGGATGCGTTGACTGATGATCCTGGAATGGTATATCCTTCCTTCCTTATTATAAATTAAGTTCGTTTGATTCCTGGAGTGCATTGAATCAGGTTCTAGAATTCAGAATCAATGAATACCTCAGAAAAATTTGACCTTAATCCTTGGTTTCCGCATTTTTGACTGCCCAATAACTTGTTCTTGAACTGGTCATTGCGCTGAAACAGCTTTGTTTTCAATAGAAAAGCTTGGGAAAGACAGATTTCACTAAGAAAAAATGAATATATTTTTCCGGTGGTTTGGAGAATGTTAAAAATATATTTTTCCCCATGGTTTGGAGTACGTTGAAGATGACGTTTAAGATGAAATTTATTTTCCTTTCATATATGCCCAGACATTACACCACTCTTTTCTAATTTAAAATTTCCCCCGCCAAATGAAGAACATCATTCTGTGCGCTCATATAGACTGCCTTTTTTCAGGTGGGAATTGAAGCATGGAAGGGCGTTTGTGACATTACAGGGTTGACACCCCATGATTATGCAATTATGCGGAGCCACTATTCCTACATCAATCTGGTCCAGAAGAAAATCAACAAGAAATCAGGAAGAGGGCATGTAGTGCTCGACATCCCTGGCACCCTCTTTGACGGCAAGACTAAGCAGAAACTGGAGGGCCATAAATCAGGGAAAGTTGCTAGCTTTGACACACAGAAGAATGGAATGAAGCCGAGTCAGCGTCGTTGCAAGCTATGTGAACAGAAGTTGGCTTATGGCAATGCCAGAACATCTCTGGCTATCTACAGGCCAGCAATGCTTTCAATGGTAGCCATCGCTGCTGTCTGCGTCTGTGTGGCTCTGCTCTTCAAAAGCTCACCGGAAGTTCTTTATATTTTCCAGCCCTTCAGATGGGAACTTCTGAAGTATGGATCAAGTTAAGGTAGTTATAAGAAGCAGTTTTCTCCGCTGTCCGCGTGAAGTCTATTATAGTAGTACTAAACAAAAAAAAATGGGATAATTGTAGTACTGGTTAATGGATTTAGATTTCAGTGGGAAATATTATGTATATCTATTTATTCTAGTTAATTTCAAATTATGAGGAAATGTCAAGTATATAGGACTGCAGTGTTAAACAATATATACTGCAGTATTTTAGCAAGTGAATTTGCCAGTGGAAATGAAAAATCTTTTGGTTTAGAATTGCACTGCAATCTTCACATGCCACCAGGTGGGATATTGCAGCAATTGGAAAAAATGACTCAACTATCTTGTTAGTGTTAGATGTGAAAGAGAGCATTTCTTCAGAGACAGAGAGAGAGAGAGAGAGAGAGAGACTGGAGGGACTGGAGGGACTGGATGGACTTTTTAATCATTCGATTTCCTTTCTCCCACTTCCTCTTCTCTTTTCCCATTTCCTTCCATCCTAATGTATTCGTAATAAATTGAAATATAATAAGAAATTACTTCTATTAAGAAATGGATATGCAATGTCCTCCACTTTTAGTTGATGGCTTTCGTTTTAGAATTTATATATATATTTAACAATCTATGATGAAAAACCCCTAAGAAATGATTTAGATGATCCTAAGTATATTACACTTCTGCTTTTGTCCAATTGACCATTGATATTTGGTGGTTAAGTTCAATCAAAACTCTTCAATTTAAAAAGTGGACTCATAATAATATAATATGAATATTTTTTGAAGTGGCTCATTGGAGTGACTTTTGTGCCATCCAATAATTTATCCATTCCCCTTAAGATATGGATAAAGAAAAGGGTAAATTACACTTACCTTAAAAATTTTAAGGTTTAAGCAAATCTCATATGGGGTGGAGGGTTTGAGGTTTATTATGCTGATCTCCCTTAACATTATAAAAAGTCAATTATACTCTTATATATTATATATTTTTATAATACAAAATATATTGTAAAATCTAAAAAATTAATTATTCTATCTAATTTCTTTTATTACTTTCTCTCTCCTCTCCACCACCGTTACCCTCTTCTAAAAAAATAAAAGAAAAAAGAGTGTAAGGGCAATTTGACCATTTTATGATTTTTATTTTATAAGTTTTGATACAGAAGGGTTGTTGAGCATATATCCAAACTTCAAGAAAAGTCAAAATAATAAATCTTAAATGCTTCACTTGTGTGACATTTATCCACACCTCAAAATTTGCGGCCTAAAATGTTATTTTTTGACACAACTACTCTTCTTTTTCAACTATCATTCTCACTCACCATTCATATTTCACCATTCATATTTGGATCAGTAATATTAATAGTATTAGGCATATTCCAACTCAAGTTGTAAATATGGGAAGGAAACTAAAATTAAATATAATTAAAACAAAACAAAAATTTAAAATATCTGGCCAAAAAAGGATTAATATATATATATATATATATATATAAATTTATATATTTGATTATATTATTATATAAAAAAAATTTTACATAATTTTTTTTTTCTTTTTCGGAAATTTATATATATGTATATTATATATATTTGATTATATTATTATTATTAAATATATATATATATTTTTAGGACAAATCATTTCAGCCTCCCCAATCGCCTCCGTCTCTGTTCTCATTCTCAACTCTGAAATTGCCCCCCACTCTCTCTCTCTCTCTCCAACTGCAAACTACAAAATCAACAAGAATCAGAAGTTCAAAACCCATATCTTTCAGTTTCCATCGCCCGCTGTTCCAGTTCGAGTTCGCCGTTCGCAAGCTTCAGCCGCTCTCTCAACTCTCAAGCTTGCCCCCCTCTCTCTCTGCAACTGCTAACTTGTACGTATGGGTTTTGTTTTAATTTTTTTTCTAAATCAACTAATCAAGGTCTGTGATTCTTGTTTTGCAAACTAAATCCTATTTGGTGAAATTTTTTATGATTTTATATATATATATATATATATATATATGAACCCATATCGGCATATCATTTCAGATTGTTCAAAAAATCAAAACCCATATCTTTCAGTTTCCATCTCCCCTCTCTCTCTCTCTGCTGTTCTCCTTTTCTGAAATAGCAGTAGCTATTTCTTGTGCTACACAAAGTTAAAATTTGGCAGCCCATATAGCATTGCATTGAGAGCCCATTTTTACCATCTCCTGCTATGCTCTTTTCCTTCAATCATACCATTCTTAATTCATCTCCAGTACAAAGTAGTCGGCGGTGCAAATTCAACCATGCACAAAAATGTCTCCTGTGAAATTTCAAATTGGAGATGAAAAAATTGCAAGTTGAGTGCGCCAAAGACGATTTTGACGAGACAGTCCACTTGAGAGAGCTGGGCAGCGAGAGAATCTTTCAAAACTGTAGTTGTCTTTTTCTTGCTGTAAATCTGCAGAAGTATGTCTTCTTTTCACCCTTTTTAATTTAGTCTATTCAGTAATCAACATTACTGAATGTGAACTAGCATATCTATGGAGTATTTATTCATGTTTGTTGAACACACACACACACAGATATATATATATATATATATAACTTCATGTCCCTTTATGTCATTTTCTTTTCTATGCTGTATTACTGTCTCGTGTGGAATTGGTACTGTTAGAAGATCATAATTTATGCAACCCTCTCAATTAGGGTCGTGAATCATCAATTCCAGTAGTACTGTGTTACGAGAAGCTTAGTCAAAATGTATGATTTTGTCACCATTGAAAGGCATAATGGATTAGTTTAAAAAGATTTGCCGTGCATTCCGAAAAAGATACAAGAAAATGAAGCTTAGAAATATAACCTTGTAGTTCATGAATTTAAGGTAAAGCATAGGTTTGTCTAATGTATTTAATGAATTATGAGGAAAACAGAATGTTTCGTGGGTATTATTAACATACAATCATTTTTTATCACAAACCTTGAATGGAAAAGACTGACTGGATTCCTCTATTTTACCTCCTTTGGAAATTCAATTTCCCTATGCAGTATGCGAAAAGGAATGCGAAAATAGCAGGGAAAGCTATGAGAACAACAGCCACAAGGGCTAAATGATCGTGTCGAAAGCCATAATATTCTTGTAGGAAGGAACTGATTGATTTGATCTCCCCAAATATGAGTATCCTTTTGTTCTCATCTCCATACTGTGAGGTCAGGAGGCCGTTTTGGGACCAGGATGTAGGACAAATCCAGTACAACCAAACCCCCACTTCGGAATTTTCTGCACAAAACAAACAGTGTCACAATATTTGGCTTAACTATACTCAATTTTAACGAGGATGAGAAGTTTTATCGTGTGAAGTATGTAGAAACTATACTCAAAATTGATTAGGATGACAAGTTTCATCATGTGAAGTTAAATAAGAATGGTGGTCAATTTGATTTGTTTGCGAATTGGGATATAAGGGTCTCTAGCATCATCCTTTAGGTTCAGTTATGTTAGAATGAGTGATGAGTGTGAAAGTGAAAATTTCACAATTTCCGTGAAATTTTGTATATTCTTGTGAAATTTACAGGGATATCTAGCACAAATGTAGTCCACTCTTTTGAGAAACTGGGACTTCACTGATACATAAATGCATGCAAACCTTCATTACATGAGAGAGTACCTACTTTCCTTGGTTCTCAGACCTATCTGAATGGAGCTTTTGGAAGTACTCATGGAACAGAAAACATAATTTTTTTTTTATTTTTTAATTTTTTTTCCCATCATAAGTGCTTCTTTCTGTTTGTGCTTGGTTCCAAATTTTTTCTTGAGATCTTTTTCGTCCATGGAAATGACTAATGCAAACAATTATAAGTTTTTATTATTAGAAGATGTAGGCAGTAGTCTAGGTCATTATTTTATATCAATTAAAAAAGTAAAAAGAAGATAAACGACAAGAGGTGGAAGGTTTTACCGGTCCTGGCAGGAGGAAGCCGGAGAAAAGACTCAGTATTGTGTAGACTGCAGTTGCCAATATGGAAGCTACTTGGAGATCTCCGCTTAATGAAACTATCAGTACCCAAGGTATACAAAGTATAAAAATGTGCAGAATGTTGCATAGAAGTACCAGAAGACCTTGTGAGCTGACCAGTGAAACCCTATTGATGGATATGTAATGGCCACAAACAAAATTGCTTGCAACAGTATATAAGGTATTTCAATGGTAACTTGCAAAAGATCACCTCAATTATAATTTATGAAGTTCACGGTACGTGTATCATTCACTGTAACAAAGCAAGCACTACTTCAGTACTTGTAGATGATTGTGTACCTGTGCGAAGGAGTAAGCCTTTGAGGAGTACATCCCAGCAAATTTTTCCCGATACAGAACATTACGCTCAGTTGCCACCTGCGGTAGAACGGTTGAACAATTATTTATCCCCAAGAATATGACAGCAATATACAAGCATCCAAGTATGTTGAACAAATCCTGCTCAGTGTTTCTTCAAGAAAGAAACAACAGGCTATAAGTTAGAGCTTCATTAATTTCTAGGGTCCTCAATTAGAAAAAATAAGCTGCAGAAAACTATTATAAGGCCCAACACAATGTCACTTAAGGTATTATATGCTTTCCGGAAACCTCCTTTACTTGCTGGTTTTGTGGTTTCAGTTTAAATGCAGCACTCAAGAAACTACATATATTTTACTTCAATGCGATCAAACTTGCATCAATTCTGTTTGGTTCTAAGGAGTTGATAAAGTTTTCCAAATATTGGAATGACGGTGTGGCTTCCTTATTATTATTATTATTATTTTGGTTATAAGTAATAAAATAAATGAAGGCCATTTTCTGGATTCTTATAGTTGCCTAAAGAATTTTAGAAAACGAATAGTAGAGTGAAATATTGTTTTGCTAGCTAGGTTTGCTATCTGTCACACTTATGGATCCCTGGAATTCGTCACATTGAGCCGTAAAATGTAAACATTATATCATTAACACAACAGGAAAGAACTACTGTAAAATTTATATTGTAATAAAATGGTATATTAGAAAACCTGTGTTAATTACTATGAAAGTATTTCCATCTCAAACATCTCCTTAAATTGTGCCTAGGTCAGATCAATTTTTGTCTGACTTGGTTTTAACTTTGTCCATTCATGATGTTACTGAATTAAACTCAACCAAAAAAGAACTTACATTTTTCCGCTTTCTGCCAAAACAGCGCTCCAAAAGTTATTGCTGGAACTATCAGAAACATTAATCGCACGAAGTTGTATTCAGGACTTCTCCAATATGACAAGTGTTGTTTCCAGAGGCATGCCAT